ATCTATCGCATTGGTCTATCAGGTGTCGTGTGGGGAATTGCAAATTTTGGCCGGGGAGTCGAACTTGGAAAGGAGATTATTGACCGAGAAAGTTTATATCAGTGTCACCCCAAATACTTGTAATCTACAAACTGATAGGTTGGGATCCATTTCGGTCTTTGCAGGCCTCCTAAATGAATACAGGATTTCTAAACAAAGGAGGGAAAGTAGAACATCGCCCTAGTGGCGGATTTTATGTTAACTAGGAGGAAAAAACGATTGTTTCCCGTAGCCTTTGTTTCCCCTCGTCGTAGAGATTTTGTTTTTATCGGTTTTTATTGATTTGATCTGTGATCCTACTGTATTGTTATTTAAATTTTAAAATAAGTTAATTGTATATGTATATATATATTTGGGAAACGTACTGTGATCATTTGTACCTGAAAAACTAAAAAAGGTGGATTTTATTGGTTTTTTAGACTTATATGAGGTAACCTTTCTCGACCACGTTTTTTAATTTTATTTTTACTGTAATTTTAGCTATAATTTTTAATTGTTAATGTATTCCATTTAAATCAATATTTAGATGCTGAGCCGAAAAAAACATAATGTACTTCTGTGCCCAAAACACCATGTTGTTTAATTTCCTATTAAGGTTTTAAAGTAAGATATCCAATTATTGTTGTAATTATTGTTTTTTCATGTTTTAATTGTTTGTTTATATGATAATAAAACAGGCCCTGAAGATGACAGTATAAAACTGTCGAAAGCTCGGCGAAAACCGTAAGGAAGTTTTCTCTGTTTTGACCTCTTCCGAAGATCCTCTGAAAAGACTTCTTGTATCCAGCAGGTCGATAATCTAGTTCATCGTGATATCAGAATATTTTTGGTGGAAGAGGTTAAGGTCAAAAATTCCAGATGTGACATGAGAATAGTAACACACGACAGCGAGGTCCATGAGCTGAGAGTATGACACGGTAATAACTGTAACCCTGTAATAACAATTAAAACAATTGCATTCCAACTGTTCCAAATACGATTAGTTTTATATAGGTATATAACTAAATCAATTTTGCTAGCACATCATTTATCCCTCGTTCGAAGGCCATCTGCACATTTATATTTATGAACTTCATGAATTAAACGATATCAGATCTGAAATTTTATTTGATGTTAGACAAACGTAAAATACCAAAATTAATAATTGAAAATAACACAAACACACGCTTAAGCAGACCTGCACCGTCTATCTATTTTGGAAAATATAAAGAAATTACGCAAAGTTTATAAAAAAAATCTAACACTCAATTTGAATTTATTGTCCACCTTCACTCACAAACACAACAACGTAATATTCTTTCTATCTCTTCATTTCTTTGTTTATTGTCACTCATTGCAAACACTCAGAGTCCACTCTCACTCTCACTCTCTCTCTCTCTCTCTCTCTCTCTCACTCTCTCTCTCACTCTCACTCCGTCTCTTGATATTCATTACCCACTATCCTTCTCTCTCTCGCTTTCTCCCTCTCTCTATCTCTATCTATAAGATCCAGGAAGGAGAAACAATAAAGTACATAATAATGTCGTAAATTGAAACGGGGAATCTCCTAATGCCACATAAAACGAACAAATAAAGTGATAAAAACTTACTCAAACAAAATATAAAATTATTCAGAAATCGCCTAATGATCACTAATCACCACACAAAATATAAAATTATAAAAGGAATTGCTAGCCGCCTCTTAGAGCGAAACAAAATGTATACAAAAAAGTAGCTTGCTCAAGTATTCGACAAATTCTTTGATTATATAGCTATATTGTATTATAGCTTCATTTATGAATTTATGAAAGATTAAATCTAGTACATTTTAGCTCTTTTGTGCCTGGATGTAATACAATATACTAGTTTCAATTAATCAATCTTTATGTAAGGTACTTATTGAAATGGAAAAGTCAGCGTCACGATCGGGAAACCCACGACCTTCGGCTAAATACGCCGCTGCTCTACCACTTGAGCTATCGTCACTTCGATCCACTCGGACACCAACTGCCCATCTCAACCTACAACCTTTCGAATTTTCCCTCCTTTTTGCCATTTTTCAAATGGCGTGTAATCAGGATTCTATTCTCGGCGACAAATGAAATGGATAAGGGAGAGCTTTGGTGAAAATATAGTTCGTTTTCGTGGTCCGATTGACCAAATAACTTCTTTCAATTAATTAATTTTTATGTAAGATATTGTTTGAAATGGAAGTTGAAGTCACGATAGGTCAAGTGGTTAGAGCAGCGGCGAACTGACCTGAAGGTTCGAATCCGGCTCGTGATACTAACTTTTTCATTTCAACCTATACCTTACATAAAGATTAATTATTTGAAAGAAGTTATTTGGTCAATCGGACCACGAAGTATAATGGTCATTATACTAAAAAAATATATGTCGACAGAATGACGAGACAATTGAAGGTTTATTTTTACACTGTTAGCGCGTTTGTCAAATATCTGTATCAATATAGAGTCCCAATGATTAGGATTGGGTATCTCGGATAAACAATAAGAGGGAGAGAGAACTCGACCTCCGAACTCAGGTGTGCGAGAGATCCCGAGGAATAAGGATTCACAGGATTGAGTACCTTTGATTTATAATATATGTTTCATTTTATTTGCTTTGGTGGAGTTGAAAATTAGTTTAATTTGATTTTGTTTATTATCGTATAAATTCAGTATTTTAGATTAATTTAAAATAAGGAAGGCTTTATTCATTATTTGGTGTTGGCTTTATCGGGATTTTGTGATCAATAAAGGAGGAATAATTAAAAGTTAGCTCGTTTTATTTTATTTATTAATTCAAGGTTAATTAATAGTAAACGTCGTTACTATTTGATAACGGTCGTTACAAAGGACATTCATCGCCTCATTTTCATTATATCAAAAAAACAATTCTTCCACATTCGACGGTGAGAAAATTGCTTTTTTAAAAGTCTTTTAATGACAGAGGGGATAAAATGGATTGACAATGCGGAACAGGTGCCCGGAGCAGTTTTAATTTCGTTTTCAAACGACCACTTTATTTGAATTTTTTCCATTATTTTGTAAAAGTCGACACAGGAAACAAAAACGTCCGTCCAATTTTAGAAGAAAACGCGCTGTTTTGACCATTGTTGAAACCCGTTACGACGATCTTGTTCTCGAAAGGGGGGATTTGCAAAGAAATTGCTCATTCCTCGCCCGCTATCTTCTACAATAGGAAAGCAGCATCACGTCGCCCCGTGATAGTGACGTCGTTTTCGGTTGCAAAACCACAAATAAATAGTCGGCGACTATCGGTTTAAATTGGTTGCAGCTTATGAAATGGAGTTGGTTTAAATTGTCACAGTTTTCCTTGTTTCACAGCACTGTTAATGAAGCGCATAACTGTCCGCAAGTTCTATTGTTCCTGCAGTATCAGCAATTTAGGATTTTTTTGAAATTAAGCCTTAAATTAAACTGTACAATGCTGAATTTTAAACAGTTTCAATTTCTTTTTTTTTCCGTACGTATTACCCAACTAAAACAAGAATTCTAATGGGTCCATAAAGCAACAAACATTTAAATGGAACTGCCGTAAAGAATGTTTTTATTGAAATTTATTAGTGTAGGGTATAATCTTATTTTAGAAATTTAATACTTATAATAGTGAAAATTGTTATAATAATTTTGTTTAAAAAAATTAGTAGTATATTTCTTTTAGTACTCCATTTATGTCACTAAACTCTACATTGTAGGTGACTAAGTTTGTATAAATATTGGCACTCATGTTCAGAAAAAACTTGACTAGTAAAATATTAATAAAAGATAGAAAAAAAACAATGAATCCTTTTAGTAATGAAGCAAGAAAAATCATTATTTGGGGAATGTTTTTCTGTTTAAACTAATTCAGTATCAATAACTAAAAATTATCCTTCATAGTTTAAGCTTGTTGGTAATTAAAAAACAAACTTTCTTTATTCAGATGTTGTCTTAAAGGGCAGAAACAGTAAAACAATTTTTTAAACCACTTGGCGTAAGGAAAAAAGGTTCATATCTCAACTTTATTTATTAAACAATTTACCTTGTTACAAGAAATAGAAAAAGAAAAACACTTTCCTTGATGTCATTTTCAAAATTTTGGGTTTTGCATCAGATGAAATAAATGAACCTAAATAAAATTTCAATTCGGAGGGTTTAAGGAAATTGAAAGAAACTAATTTTTTGACGTGTATTTAAACCGTAGGAAATTATATAATGTTACTCTGAAATTACCTGAATACGCTCGATCAGCCTCTTAAGATATTTAGATAAAAAAATGTGTGATGAAAAGAGTAAGAGAGTGAAAGAAAAAAAGGGAGAGAGTGCTTGAGAGAGAGAAGAGATATGCATGTTCTGAGGGAAATAAAGAAAAACATATAGTTACCCAAATATATATATATATATATATATATATATATATATAGAGAGAGAGAGAGAGAGAGAGAGATTGATTGATGGATCGCCAATTTAACTCTTTACCAGTAATCAATAATGTTTTCAGGAGGATTGACAATTACAAAAGCGCATTAGGTGAAACCGCTGGAAAATGTCCCGGTGATTTCTGGCTTATTGTACGTCTATATACATATGAATCATACTGCTACATACAAATAAACTGAAACAATTTTATTTTTTTACGCTTCGCCGAGTTTGGTTCATTATGTAGTACTCAATTGCTTTTCATTACACCGGGTTACACACCTTTCAACCTGGTTGAAATTTTTCAGCAATCATGAAACTTTCGCGTAATATTTCTAATGTGTTTTAGTTGATATACGTTCAAAATTTAACGGAGGACAGTTTGATGACCATTACATCAGGGCTTACCAAAAGCTTAAAGATTTTTCCCACCGTGCGTTACACATTTGCGTGAAAAGACACGCACAAATGGCGGTTGGTCGCCCCTCCTTCGTCCTCTTGTGTAAACAACTTGTTGACTTATATAAGGTTGCGACACCTTCTTTATTTCCCAGTCCGACAGTTCAATATGTGCAAGCTGCTGTTGTGCTTTTGCCTCCTTTTCGCCTTCGGCCATGTGAGTTTAAACAAAATATTCCATCGATTGGTATATTGACAGCCAATTGCTCATTGATTATGTACGTATTGACTAAATCTACTTTATTTAAAACTGAAATATCTTGACCCAGAAAAACTAGAGCTTTCAATTACATTTTTAACTACACCTACTAACAGTTTACATAATGGTAAATTGATCAAATTATTACATCTATAACTATATGTTATTGTAAATTAGTAATCCTAGTTATAAATAACTTCACGTTCGAGTTTATGCAACTTATTAGAAAGCTGGCAGTGATGTTAATTATTTCAACATCATTAGATGTTTATTAGTAATCTGCATGAGAATGCGTCAAAAATTAACTTTGGTGGTCATATTGTTTTTTTAACAATTTAAAAAGAATTTTTACTCTGCCATGATATTACTAGTCAAGAGAATTTCTTTTGTTTAGGTAATATTCACATATTTTACTTATTCCAGTACAATTCATTGGATATGATTTAACCAAAGTATTCTATTCTTTAAAATTTAATTACTTCGTAGTTCTATTGAAGTATAAAATTACTAAGACCTCTTTGGTGTATTCGGTTGAGTTCAAACAGTTCTGAATTACGTTAAGCAGTTTCCTGTCGTTTACTACTATGCTAACAAATTAAAATAACCGATTGTTAACACTCAATTTTTGTTTATGTTGATTTGTTTACGCTTGTTAATAAACAGGGTGAGTTTAAATTTTCATTTTATTGGAGCGTTTTTGGTTCCGACCCCGAGTAACATCGGCTTTTTTTGCCTAGTTTCTCATGAGCAAAAATGTTTTGATCGAACTCTCAAGAAAACCAGAATACGAATACTATTTCAAATGAGATACCGAGAAATGAAAATTTCTGAAAGCGTTTTGACACATTCATTATTTAATGCTTTATTCCTTAAATATTGAGATACCTTGAGCAAATGATTTACGACCAATTAAAATAATAAATAAACTGGAAAGAAAGTTAAATTTCCATTGAAAGGAAACCAGACGTACAAATTTATTACCCAAAATCCCACCTCCAAATTTAATTTTTGTGATGTTGTGACTGCTTTCCTTCCCCTTAAGGACAATCCCAAATCCATTAAAAAAATGTGGTTTCATCTGGAAAACTTATTTTTGTCACTATTTCTATGAATTAACTTTATGAATAAACGTGTGGTGTTTAGTGACCGTTAGTCAATGATTATTCGCAGATTCTGAGATCGTGAGATGCGGTCTAGTATGACGTCGGTTTAAAAAAACGGTTTTTTTATCATGCCAATGTTTCGATCTTTATTGAGATCATCTTCAGGGCCTGGTATTTATAAGTATTTTTTCAATTTTACAAATACATGTAGGATGTGAAAAAAATGAAGTTATACATTGCTAGAAATTGCAGATTCAATCAAAGTATTTGTACTCACTCAAAGTGTGTTTTCTGCGTAATTAAGAAAAATATTATGAATAAATTCGTTTTTAGTAGAGATGTTTGGAAAATATTTGGTTCTTCTGAAAAAAAAAAATGTTCCAAATTAAAACCTGTTTGCACCGTTGGATTTTTCGACAAGTAAACTTTCAAAAAAAGGACATTGACGAGTATATTACTCTGGAGAGTAAGATCGAAACTCAAGAGAAACTAGACAAAAATAAAAGTTCGCTTGTCTTTGTGTTTTCCCCAAAAACGACCCAATAACAAAAAGTGGGGAGGACAGAAGTTTCACTTTCCCTGTATCTTTAAGTATGAACGAGGGGAACTGCAGTCTTAGTACAATCGTGTTATGAGTAAAAACTCAGTCATTTGGCCTTGGCATCAAAAACACCACTATTACACCGGTGGTTTTTAGTGCGGGACACCGAATTCGAATACCGGCATAGGAAGAACACAATTATTAATTTTAAACGAACTTCTCAGGCTTGCTGTCGAAGAAAACCATTATCAAATAATTTGAGGACTCTTAAGTCGACTGCAACAACAATAGTGCGTACACAGTGTCACAATGCTTACCGAACTAGGAAGAAAATAAGTTATTGGAAACGATGGACGATAACGAAAGAAATGGAAATATAAAAATTAATGTGTGTAAAAAATAATCGTTAAACTTTATTTTTTATTTTATTTGGAGATCGTGAGATGTGGTCTGGTGTGACGTAGGTTTTAGAAAAACAGTTTCTTTATCTTGCCAACGTTTCGATCTTTATTGAGATCATCTTCAGGGCCTAGGATTTATAAACATTGTTTAAATTTTACAAATACAGGTAGGATGTGAAAAAAATGAATTTATACAATGCTAGAAATTTTAGATTCAATCATAGGAAAATGAAAGCCAAATTGTTGAAGAATTAGACTATGTACAAATGTTTGATATGTGTTATATTATATGTTTTGTTGATGTGATGATGATATATGTGTGTTATCGATATATATATATATATATTTTTTTTTTTTTTACGAGGGTGCCGGTGTTTAAAAAAAAAGCCCATTTGTAAGTATGTCAGGTTCGGATGCAGGGCCGCTGGATTCGAACCCGGGACCTTTACATTACAGTGATGAGCGCCGTGTCAAAGACTAAACCTTGCGGCCACCGAGCCCCTTGTTATCGATTTTGAATTTAGCTTGCTGTCACTGAGTTTACATGTTTCTGTTCTGTAATTCATGCTGTGTTTATCCATGTTGATGTAAACCATTTCTAAAAATTTATGTTTATGTTTGTTCCTTGTGTAATATTTTTGGATTATTGAAGTCGAAATTGTGTTGTTGTTCAAACTGGTTTGTAGCCAGTGCTGTAGGATTTTGCTTGGTTTTTTTTCGCAATCATAGATATGTTGCTTTATTCTCTTATCCAGATATTGGGATGTAATACCGATGTAAGTTGCCGGATAATTTTGTAAATTACGTCAGATTTATTTGTTACTGGTGTGTGATCATTAATTTTGGAAAAAAGTGTGTGAATTGTTTTATAGTTTTTGAATCCCAGGCCCTAAAGATGATCACAATAAAGGTCGAAACGTTGGCCCGATAAACAACAATTTGATCCAGTTTTTACACCAGAAGGAAGTGAGAGCAGGCTGAATGTAAATAAATTAAATTATCATATTGTTACTTTGCTTTACCTTTCATAAAAGGTTCAAGTTCATTCATTTTCCTTTTTGCTTTATGCGAATCATATTGGCACATGAATAAATGACCTGTAGGCGGAAATTTGATCAAAGAATTGAACATCATTGTCTGAGGGTCAATGGAATCCATGAATTCTGCTCCTATTGTGTTTGAAAAAGGGATTTTCGAGTTGGGTGAAGATATTTTAAATGGGTTTTGTTCATATTTAGACGAATCTGTTAAAAATTTATTGTATAACAGATGGCTGTTTTAAATATTTCAGTTGAACTACTTTCCTATTATTTTAAAGAAAAGTTGATTTCTTACGGTGATTTCAATTGATGTTAGATTTATTCATTTATTGGACAGATAAACGTTTCCTCCACCGAGGAAATACGTAGTACTTTTGCTGATTTATGAGTAGGGCCTTGCTTGAAAACTTACCATAACGGATGGGTCGACGAAAGAAGTTTAATCCTTGTTTAACCGGTCGGGCCTTTTTGTAAAGATTGTCTAGACGCCAAATCCGCTGTGATTCATTACTCCGGATCGGCTTAACTTGCGGAGATTAAAGAAAAAATCGAAAAGAAAACTAATAATAATTCATGAAGAAGGAACCGAATTGAAATTGGGTGTCAGAGGTAATTAATTTTGGGTTTTTTATTGTTAAAATGTTTAGCAGATTATCCTCCCCCCCACAAAATTTAGACTTTAACACGATTATGTATGGAAAAAATATATTGAAGGCATCTTATCACTGTTGGACAATGCTTGCCATATTTTACTTCACACTCGAAGGTGGTTTTCATGCACCCAGGATCATTTAGTGGTATTTAATAGGAATAAAATATTTAATATGAATAAAATAATAGGATGCCTGTCCATACGGACGAAAAACCTTTTTTTAAATTAAAATATATTAAAATTTTTGACAATCTGTACAACATTTTTACAAGAAATGCTGTTCTAGGTGCTCATATTCAAAAAGAATTTGCATTTTACATTCTTTTATGTGGAATTATTGTAAAATTAAACAATTCGCTGTTTCGAGTTTTTATTTGTTTTATCTCTTATATCTTCTAAAGTATGTGTGGTATTTAGTCATTGTTACTTAATGTCTCTTTGGAGGTCGTGAGACGCGGTCTACTTAGGCGTAGGTTTTAGAAAAATATTATCTTTATCGTGCCTACGTTTCGATCTTTATTGAGATCATCTTCAGGACCTAGGATTTATAAACATTGTTTCAATTGTATAAATAAATGTAGGATGAGAAAAAAATGAAGTTATACAATGATAGAAAATTTGAGATTTAAAACTTCTAAAGTATTTACTGTTCGTTCACGCTATTTGCGACTTTTTTATATGCTGACATATTTTTTACCAAATTAAAGTTTAAACATTAATTGTCATTATTGGTTGAAGTCGTGAGGAGCGGTCAGGATTGAAGTAGATAAAAAAAACAAGAGACCTATATTCAGGTAATTTTTAAAACGTTGGTGAATTACAAAACATTTATTGATTAGAAAGAGTAAAATACAAATGTAATATAAAATTTGTACCAACTATTTCGTACTCTCATAAAGTGTAGTACTATTGTTGTAGTGTCATAATTGTTTCGTGTGAAATTGATGCGAATCGTGAATTTGTATTCTGCTGTTTTTAAATTAATTCTGGCAGGGTAGGGACGCGGTAAATCTTGAAAATTTTCTTTGATCATAGGCGGTTTTATTTAACTCAAAGCAAGTCGAGAATGATGATGTTTTGTGTTAGATTTGTGATTCGGGGTTGATTCAATATTGGAAAGGATGGTAATTATTATGGACGCTAACGAAGGAAAGGGAATTATAAAAATAAAGTTGAAATGTTTATTTGCTTTATGATGTTAACGCAACTACGGCTCAGTTTACATGTATCTGTTCTGTCATTAATGCTGCGTGTTTCTCTATTAATGTAAAGTATTCCTAGAAAGTTATATTTGTATTGGTATATAAAACAAATAAACTGTTAAACTTTATTTTTATATTATTTGGAGATCGTGAAATGCGGTCTGGTGTGACGTAGGTTTCAGAAAAACACTTTCTTTATCGTGCCAACGTTTCGGTCTTTATTGAGATCATCTTCAGGGCCTGGGATTTACAAATATTGTTTACATTTAACAAATACATTTAGGATGTGGAAAAGTGAATTTATACAAATGCAAAATATATTTTTTATTATTCAGATATCGTGAGATGCGGTCTGGTGTGATGTAGGTTTCAGAAAAAGATTTTCTTTATCGTGCCAACGTTTCCATTCCACACATCAAATACTTTTCACGTAGTCTAATTTGCCAACAATTTAGCTTTACTTTCCCCACCCCTTCAAAACCAAACATATATAAACATAAAACAGTAAAATCTCACTGGCACTCTCAACATGACACGCAAGGATGGCACAATTACACAGAAGACAAACACTTTGAGTGAGTAGAAATACTTTGTTTGAATATAAAATATATTTTCCATTGTATAAATTCACTTTTCCACATCCTAAATGTATTTGTTAAATGTAAACATTGTTTGTAAATCCCCGGCCCTGAAGATGATCTCAATAAAAGTTCGAAACGTTAGCACGCTAAAGAAAATGTTTTTCTGAAACCTACATCACACCAGACCGCATCTCACGATATCTGAATAATAATGTCCACACATATATTTTTTATATTAAATCAAAGTATTTCTATTCACTCAAAGTTTTTGTCTTGCAAGAATGCAAACACTTTGAGTGAGTAGAAATATTTTGATTGAATATAAAAAATATATTTTGCACTCTCTATGTACCCCTATCTGTATCGATCTATTTGAAATGAAATTTTACTGTAATTAAAATTAGGAAAAATTTGTGAAGAATGTACATATCTCAGAAAAAAATAACAACAGTAAATTATGACCAAATTAAACGGTTAATTGCTTCATGTTTACAAAGGGAGTAGTAAACAAGTTAATTTAGATTATAACTATGACAGTTGTGCATGTGTGAGTCGCCTGTTACTTCTGACCTTGTTTTTATGTAGCTTTGATAGTTTACTTATTAAGCATGAGGTCTTTTTAAGTTCTTATTATGAAAATGTACATTAATACATTTATGTTTTGTGGTTTAATTGACCATATTAATCATTTCAATTACTTATTCTTTAAGTCACGATAGCTCAAGTGGTTAGAACAACGGCGTATTGAGCCGAAGGTCGTGGGTTCGAAACCCGCTCGTCCCACTAGCTTTTTCACCTCAACCAAAACGTTACATAGTAAGAATAAATAATTGAAATAACAATGTATGCTGAACTTAGGTATTGAAATAAATAACATTGTTCTCTTATTAAATTCACTAATTTCGTTGTCCGCTTGACCAATTAATTTATTACAATTAATTAAGGTTTTAAGTTGAGATTTTAGTTGAGAGAGGTATAGAACTTCCCGTATCAACCCCATCTTTTGAATCGTGTGTTCGAGTCCCGCTCGTGCCATTGACTTTTTTATATCAACTAAAAACCTTGAGAGAAAACAAGTAAAGACAAAAGAGATCAAGAGTAAGAGAAATGTAGGGAGCGAGAAAGAGGGACAGGAGGAGAGTGGTAAAGGGATTAAGTGAGTGTGAAAAAATTCAATGTGAACATAAAATTCTGTGAAATTTCAGCAATAAGACAGAAATAATAACTGAAAAAAAAAAACAATTATGAGAAACAGATAGTGAAAAAGAGAAATACTGTCATCACTTTCAAGCTATTAGACAGATAGACAGACAGAGATAAATAAATACATAGTTATTAAGAGTGAATTAGAGATAGTATATTGTGAGAAAAAGATTGGTAGAGAGATAGAGACATTTATACTTAGAAAGGTAGACAGACATATAAATAAATAGAAAGATGGGTGAGAGGAAAAGAATGAGAAGAGTGAGAGTTAAAGGACAGTGTGTTCGAATCCTGCTAGAGAGAGAGAGAGAGAGAGAGAGAGAGAGAGAGAGAGAGAGAGAGAGAGAGAGAGAGAGAGAGAAATAATGAGAAAAGTGATAGTTAAAGGTGAGTGGGAGAATACGAGAAGCGAAGGGAGAATACGAGAAGCGAATGTGACGACTGAGATTCTATCAAAAAATTACGCAAAAGTCTAATCAGAGAATAATAGTTTGGTTGAATTTAAGAAAAATAAAGGTACATAGAAAAAATGGTGATAAACAGATTGTTTATATAAAGGAAGTGTATTAAAATAAAGACAGGTGTCTGTGTGATAAAGTCAATGATGAGAAAGAAATACGTAACCAAAATAACTGCAAATTTAAGAGCCAGAGTTATTACTTCAATGAAAAAAGGAGAGTAAGTAGTGATAGAAAACGAGAATGGATTTGTTCAATTAAATACAGTTGCGCACCAAGAAATTTATAAAAGATTATTGGTGTACTTTAACCTCATGTTTTACTTTTTGTTGTCAATACACATTTCAGGATCACTACTGGTATTCGTTTTCAAGGCTAACAAATACAAACAGAAATTATTGTCAATAAACTCTGTAAGTTACACATGTAAGATAGAGTCTATATAATTGATTTTTTTGGAAAGAATTTGCATGTTTTTGTTTGTTAGCTTAGTAAAGAGAAACCGTAAGTGGTCCTAAAATACGTATTGACAATAAAAAGTGAAATAAATGCGTCGTGAAGTTCAATAAAGACCCCTCACGTGACTTCAACAAAAACCGAAAGAAAAGAAAGTCAATCTTAAAAGACATGTTTTAACACGCGTTTCATAAATTTTTGTAGCCCCCAGGTTTTTAAGGAATGGCAACTTCTCACAAGCGTACAAAATTACTTGAAAACTTGTAGTTTAGTGTTTTCTTATTCGCCGTTTACCAATTTCTTCTTCTTCTTTCTTTGTCGGGGTTTAAGTTTTAGACTTTTATCCCTTCCGACGCCGAACCTCCTCGGAGGGAAACAACTTTAATTGGGCGACCGAGCGACTTGGGAGGCTTGTTTTCCGTCCCTTTGCTTGGAAAGCTGGGAAACTTTTCCATTTGAGCTGGCTCGCCAGTAATAACAGCTTTTCGACCCCTCTTCGCAAATTGAGAAATGATACATGTACCAGATGGCGTTGGCGATTTTCTATCATTATTTTGACCAATTCCTTCATTTATTATATAAATCGTTTTAGGTGGTATTTATTTATTTTAAATTTAATTCATATTCTAACTCTTATTTTGAACGATTTAAATTTAAAATAAAAACACAATTAAATGAGTATTTTTTCCATTTGATATTTGCTTTTTATGAGGAAAATTAAATAACCGCATTTTTTATTGTATTCAAATTTTCTACAGAGTCCCGCATGGATACCTTCCATGCTCAAAAGAATGTAAATTAACATCGATTCTCTTCTTTTCACTTACGTCTTTCCATGATCTAGTTCCACAGATCTTACGGCGATTGTGATATCATGATTTTAACAAATGTTAACTGTTCAAATGTCAGCCTAACGAAAATAATGGCCAACAATAAAAAATATATTCAATTCACTAGGCATTTATTTAAATTTATTGTTTCACTGTTGGAGGAAAACATTACGTATTCAGTAAACAGATAATCATGCCGATCAATTCTCAATTTCTCAAGAGGTTCCAATATCTTTAAATTTATTTACCAATTTGTTTACCACATAACGAACAATGAGGAGTCAAATAAATTGATGATAAACGTACTACAGAGGGAAAAGACATAATCCACCAAAGGCACCTACTAACAAAGATACACACATTGCGACCTTATAAAAGATACGTAATTTCCCAGAAATCACACAGACCCAACACTGAAGATGCCGAAACGCACCGAATAAATCAACACATCAGCAACGACCAAATTTCATAATAAACCTTAAAATTATTTAGACATCGTTAAAGATCTTCCATTTTCTAAGATTTCTATAAACACTGAAATACAAATTAATTTTATTTCAGGGGCTTAGACTTTTGCAAAAGATTTTTGTTGTAAATGGACATGAAATAGTATAAAAAACCTGTTTTGATTTTGAATTATTGTATACTACTCTTTATCACAGATTTGAATTCAAAACAACAAAAACATTTAAAATTGATAGTGGTTTTAGACAGATAAAATATCATTTTTTAATTAAGTCTTATAGTAGCATAACGAGAGTAAAAATTAGTTTTTCCATGTTAAACAAAATACTATTATATTTATTCGATTGAAAATAATAATTATTTAAACAAACCAAACTTTAGTTCTGATAAGTTCTGACCTATCTACACCATCAGTTTTATTGCACCCTTTCCTCAACCGGAATTAGAAAACCAAGTTTTAACTAACTTTACAGGGGGCGTCGGTGGCCGCAGTTTAGAGATTGACACGGCGGTCACTGTAAGGTAAAGGTCCCGGGTTCGAATCCAGCAGCCCTGCATTCGAACCCGACGTACATACAAATGGTCTTTTTTTCAAAAACACCGGCACCCCGAGGGCTGATATATCTGCTGTTGCGAACCCTCTTAAAAAAAAGTAATACAAAAACTAACTCTCCATCGATTGGAATCCATAAAAAAGGTCACTGTGTAGATGTTAAAATAATTATCATTTTTATGTGTTTGTACATAAATTGTTTGAGCAAATGCAACCAAATTTTGATATTTCTAACATTTTTACATTATCAAAACAGACTAATAAAATTGTTTTAATATATTCAAATTGGTTTGAAGATTTTATATTTAATTTTTGTAGTGTTTGTATGTTTGAGTGGTGTATGTGTGGTTGGAACTCTAAGCTCAACAATAATAAATAATTATGTAAATAAAATTTTTTATTTCTTTTAATTAAAAAGAGGCATAAAATGACTAACAAGATTATTGCAACTAGTATAATTATATATCTCACCCGCTTTTTGAATGTTTAAAGGGTATGAACGAGGAACTTGCCAAAGATGTTACGACCAGGATTGAAAGTTTGGAAAGGGAAATTTCTCAGTTAATCGACGACGTGATAAAAGATACAAACATGAAAATCGACCACAAAGTTAGCCAAGCGTCGAGGAAAGGCCGCAGCTCGGAAAACTGCGCCAAGACGGCAGGAGCCAAGTTGATGAAAGATGTAGAGAAAGCACTGGAAGACGGTCTGAGGAAGGAGCAGAAATCCCTGGAGGCAATCAGACGCAGCATCGAAGACAAGACGATTTCAGAGAAGCAGTTCGAGGATTTGAAGAACCCTTTTCTCGAAAAGAAAATCGAACTGGCAATGACTAACACAGAAGCTAAAATCGAGGCGCTTACTTTAAATTACGCCAGGGTAGCAAATTCATGTTAACACAAATTACTATAATTCAACAGTAGCAATAAAAATATAAACTATATATGTTTTTCTATTTTCTAGAAATATTCTTTTACTTGCGCTTTATAATTTTTAGTTCGAATGTTGTTATAATTCTGTATTTTTTAGCTATTTGTTATCATTATATTGTATCTTTAGCTTAAAACTTTAACTTCTGTAATTATTAATTTTTATATAATCATTCGGGAAAATTATCAAACCATCCTTGATATACTTTTTCAAAATAGTAATTTTCAAACTGTTAAAGCGTTTGTATATTTAATAGTGACAGATTGTGTTTGTTCGTCGGTTTTTTCAGCACAGGATGAACGGATATGATTCAACACAGTACAAATTTCGGATATGCGAAAATTGTTAGCCTAAATGGTGAAAGTTTACCCAAGAAAAACGTTATAGGAGAAGTCCGGTCCTGGTTCCACAGTCGAATAATTTATCACTAAATTAAATCCTCTTTACAGAATAATTTCACCCAAAACAATAGATGCATCAAGATTCATTTAGTAATTCAATTGGTAGCATTATAACGAGAATGAAAGTATTACAATAAATACAAAAATGAGGGGCATTAAAAAGGAAAAACTACATTCACTTTTGTTTTACCTTTTTTTCCCATGCAAACCTGGACAAGGGAAAAAATAATATTTACTACGTAGAAATTGAGAGCAATTCTAAAGGTTTCTCAAAATATATTTGTATATTTTTGGTATCATAAATTAAAAAAAAATAAAAACACTCTTGAAATGACTAACAAACATCCTCTTCAGGAAAATGGAAATTATAAAGCAATCTTTGAAATAAAAGAACATTGTGATATATACCAATAATTATTATTATATAATGTAATCATCCACACAAAGCATCGAAACACATACAGTGGCTTATGATAAAGGGTATCAAATTCATCATTCTAGATTTTACCAAAGAAAAAAGAAAAACAATCTAAAATTGTAGGTAGAAATGCTTATAAAAAATTAAATTATTGAACAACGTATACTTCGTAATTTTACAAGAATATAATTTTGTTCTCCCTCACTTTCAGCAAAGTTTAAAAAAAAATATAATACACATTTTCTTAACTGATTCCATCTCAAATTAAAATGTGATTTAATCAACGGTTCGAATGAATTCACTATCTATCGTCCCCAAATATATGCTGTTCGTCATCATTGAACTGAAGAAAGGGATAGTTGTCAAATTAGACATAACAAGAGGGAACATGGGTATGATGATGAAACTGCTGTCGATAATTTATCTTCTCGTGTACGATACATTGTCCTTCCATGTTCAACCGTTCCTACTAACATTAAACGTTTACATAGTTGGGTTTGAATTTGACTTCGATTTGCAAAATATTTTTTAATTATGAATATTTGTACTTATGTATATTTAACTCAAAAAACAAATATAATAACAAAATTCTTTTTTATACTTGTAGCAACATACAATAGAAACATACAATAAACGATATTAATTAAGATATTAACTAATTGAAAAGAAAGGAACTCAAAAACCGGCCTAAATGGAATTCTTGGCCTTGCATATCATGAACTTTTCGAATAAGCGGACTTTGTTGACTTCGTAAGTTCGCGAGCTGGCTGCTATGGCGTCTTCCACATCGCGCATGAGCTCAGCAGATATCAATTTAGTTATAGTCTCGTCTTTGTCGCTTCCGTCGACGCTGTCCTCACTCCAGAGCGTTTTCTTCATTGTCTCCAGCTCAGATCTGAATCCTTTGAAAACCGTGTTCAGGTGTTTTCTCGTCTCGGACATAAAAGTGACACCGGCACGGGCGATGCAGCTGAGCGCTTCCGGTTCCATTTTTTCACTTTTGGCCAAGATGTGGACGACCAGGCTGATGAACTTGCGGGTCCGTGACATCAGCTCGTTTCTGTGGTTGATAATAGCGCTGATGATCCTGTCCAATGCCTCTTCCAACACAATCTTTTCGTCCTGTGATAACGATAACCTTTCCTAAAACATATTAAATATTTTGAAAAAATATTATCACATATTTTAGAATAAAAGGTTTTAGGTTTACGCTTTAGGAACATCGCAAACTGGAGAAGACTGAAATAAATGAAAACTACTCACTGTATAGAAATAAACTGTAATTTTTACGAGCTAATAAAAATTATTGATATTATTTAAAATTGTGTGGAATTTAAAAAAAAATCGAAGACATCAATGTGATGGGATAAAATTTTGGCCTGGAAATTATTCCGTTAAGCAATAATAGTAAAATAAAAAACTCCCTGGCATGAGGTTAAACTGTGACCATGCACCCCTCCCGCACCTGGTGGCTATCCTTAATCTCCCCCATGCCATCTACTAACTGTACAACCTTACCTTTTTTCCCGTAACTACCCTTTCCCAAAACTAATCTTTTCATTTTCCTGTCCTAGGCGTCCCAGAGTCTAGGGAGGGAGAGGTATGTCGGTAGACCTTAGTGGCAGCCCCACTGGCCGACTATAGGATAGCTACCTACCACCCTGAAAATTAGGCTGCTCCTTTTCAATTAAATAAGGCCGTAGACCCGGAAGGCGACAATGCCGGTAAGCCCGTGGATAGGGATCATCCACGTGCTTATTCATTGGATCCCGTCGGTGTTGGTGAGGCGAGTGGCACTACCCGACTAAAGGCAACCACACGTAGGACTGATAACGGACTCACGAATGTTACCACTTTGTAGCCGTTTGATCCGACTGCCACTCTGAAGAGAAAACGGACAAGGAGAGAGAAAATAATTGAGGATACACAGAATATAGATTGGGCTAGGAAGAGGAATAATTTCGCCAGATTTTGGATCTTAGAAAAGAAAGAGTGTGACTTTAAAGGAGATTCTCCTATCAAATTGTGCCGAATGATACGTAAGCAGCTTGGCCGAATCTACAATGTAAAAAAGACTGCTGCTGGCCAACTGCTATAACCACAACTAAACCGAGCAACCTCCGCCAGTATATTAATTTTCGGTTGATCGCCACTAAAGACACCCAGCCACTGACTTTTGTCAGTGGCAAAAACCAGGGGGTGAGCAATCACCCCCAGTAATAATCAAGGCCCCGACATTGCCGGGGTCAAAAACCCAGAGCGCTCCTCCAGCCAGGGGGGCGATTTTGAAGGAACTAACCCATCCTTCAACAACTGAGGTGGAGATACCCACCCCACAACAAAAAGAGTTGATGCCAGACAAGGCATCACGACCCCATCTCCCTCCAGAGGAGCCCCCCCTTATCTCTTTAATGGATGTCGTGGAAGAGACATCCAAGGGCATAGCTGGGAGATGGAGTCCGTGAGTCAAACGTCAACTGACTCAACCGGGAACGAAGGCTTTACGCCAGTTCCCGGAAAAAATAAAAGAAAAATCCGGGGGTTGGCCGAAGGGGGGCCCCGAAAGCCAGACCCAGCAACGAAGAAAGAGAGTAATAATAGAGAGGCCACACATAAATTATAATGAACGGGATAATCATCCAATGGAACTTGAGAGGCATTAAAACACATATAGAAGGATTACGAAGAATTATCGCTTATACACTTATACAACTTACGCCTATAGCCATTTCCCTCCAAGAAAGCCATTTACGGCCCGGGGAACAATTCTCTTTGAGAGGATATCGCACCTACACCCGGGGAGTACCAATAGCACATGGAGGAAGAGCACACGTGGGAGTGGCTATTTATGCAAAAAACGAAATACAGTCAGAAGAAATATGCATAGAAAACGATAACGTTCAGATCGTAGCTGCCAGAATAAAAATTCCCCAGGAAATAATACTGTGTTCAATTTACTTACCAAATCGAAATTGAAATCATGAAGAAGTAAAAGAAATAATTAATGGATTCCTTCACCCCGTTCGCTAAATGGGAGATTTCGACAAGACACAATGTGTGGTGGGTTCAGAGTAAACTGATAGAATATGAAGAAAAATAGAAGAAATGGTTGACGATACACATTTAATATTACTGAATACGGGGAAACAGACACATATTAACTAATATAATGGAAACTACACTGCTATTGATCTGACGTTTGCCTCTCCGACCCTAGTTCCCGGATGTGACATTGGATACGTTTTACGAATTATATTTCAGTGACCATTTCCCCATCGCTATAACCAGCTCCATTCGTTTGGAACTGTACGTGGCAAGTCCTAGATATAACCATGCAACGTTAGTGACTCTCCCAGATTTAACGGGGGAGGTAGACTCTGACGTTAACGAAATTACAAATGCGATTAAGGCCGCCGCAACAACATCAGTACCTACTACCGGGGGACCTAGACAACGCAGACAGGTCCGCTGGTGGAATAAGGTGTGCGAAGCGGCCAATAAAGAACAGAAGCGGGCCTTTAAAGGATTTAATACGTATCCGACGGAGGAAAATTTAAGCACATTCAAAATAGCTAGGGCAAAAGAAAGAAGGATCGTCAATGCGGCCAAACAGGCCTCTCTACAGAATTATGTAAAAGAATTAACAAGCGACATGAAGGGGGAGGTCTGGAGAAGGATTAACACCATCGCCGGGAAATACAAGCCACCTATGGTTCCGCTCCTTAAAATCAATGACTCAATGGTAACTGATGTCAAAGAGGTGGCCGATGCGCTCGCCGACCATTATGCAAATGTCTCGAGCGATCGGTCATATTCAGAGAGATTTAAACAAATTAAAGAAAGGCTGGAGTTGGAAAATGTATTGGACCTTGAAGGAAGCGTTACGGAACAGGTCAACTTGGACCTGACAATGGCCGAATTAGAGACAACATTTAAAAATACTAAAGATACAGGGTAGTGACAACATTCCAAATGCACTTATAAGGAATCTACACGCTCCCGCTAAAATGAAACTGTTAGAAATTTACAACGAGATATGGGGAGCGGGTGAATACCCGGACAGCTGGAAAGAGGCCATTGTGGTCCGATCCTAAAAGAAGGAAAAGATCCAAGCGCCCCCAGCAGCTATAGACCCATATCCCTGACGACATGACTGGGAAAGATATTGGAAAGCATGATAAACAGACGGTTAGTGTGGTACCTGGAAACACCCAACGCAGGAGCAGGCGGGGTTCAGGAGAGGCCACTCACCCGTTGACCAGGCCGGCCTTCTCTAGACCGCGATACAGGATGCATTCCTAAGAAGACAACATTGCATCGCGGTCTTCATCGATCTAGAGAAGTTCTACGATACAACCTGGCTATATGGGATTGTGAAAAAATGTCATGACTGGGGGCTACGGGGGAGAATCCTTAAATTAATAAATACTTTTTTGGAAAGCCGACGATTTAAGGTTTAAATTGGAGCAGTGACATCGGATGATGGTCGGAAAGAGAATGGAATCCTCCAAGGATCGGTACTTTCTGTAACGTTATTCGGGATCGCAGTAAACAATATAGTAGATAAATTGGAAGCTCCGCTGCTAAAGGTTTTGTGCGTCGACTTTTTCAGCGGAGACGATATCAATGAAATAACTAGAAAAGTACAAGAAGGGATCGATGTGGTGATCAGAAAGCTGAGGGCATCGGATTTACATTTTCGAGGGCGAAAAAAGCAGTACACTTCTGCAGACTGAAGAGGGAACATACTGCCCCTCCTCTTTCGCTAAAAGATAAACTGAGATGGCAGCACCACATCGACCATACTGCGGCCGAGAGTAAAAAAGTACTAAATTTAATGAAATTTCTAAATAATTTTCGATGGGGAGCAACGAGGGAAATATTAATTAACGTATTTAAATCGCTGTTGTGTACAAAATTAAATTACGGATGTATGGTATTCTCCTCGGCAAGGAAAAGTAGATTGCAGAAATTAGATAGAGTATATATCGCTGGTATAAGGATTGCTACTGGGGCTTTCCGAACAAGCCCGTCAACAGTTTATGTGTGGAGGGTGGAGTACTGCCCACGGAAAAGAGGAACTAGCTGATGTTGAATTACAGTGGAAGTATATGGGGCAGGCAATCCCATTTCCTCCACCCAATACTGTTTGATGAGGAAAAAGCCGAGGAGTAATGGCGGCTGAGAAGCCGGGAGGACAAAACAGCCACCCATCCACCCATATTTATTTCGAGGACGAAGGATCCACTCAGTGCGAAAAGCAGGAGTACGTGGGCACTAAACCATGCTTCCTTAAAAAAAGTTGTAGTGTTCCTCAGCGCTGGCAAGCTGTGGAGGTTGGTAAATAGCCTGAAGCTGAGTGAGTTATAATTAACAGAAGAACACAATAGATCTATGTAGGTCGAGGTGCAATAGGCCTTATGGCCGCCTCTCTTATTTCTATCCCAATCCAGTGTAGCGTTCTGGTCCCAGTTTTATTTTCAAATTACTCAGGCGATATAGCGATCATCTCAAGCAATTCTGATTTTATGTTGAACCGGCACACGGGCACTACTGGGTCTTCTTCACTCGCGGGATTTTTATTTCAGTTATTCAAACGCGTTTCGGTATTACGCCATCTTCAGTGAAAACTGTCTGTCATTTAGTCTGAGTAGGGTTATACTACTCCGCGTCCATCGCTTGACACTGGGGGCGTGCTCTTCGTGCTCGTTGGTCGGTCTCGGTGGCGGGTATTTCCGTTATCGGTTATTATTTGTGCGTTGTTAGTTTTTTATTTTTTCCTGGTGTTGGTTGCGATGTTTTGTTCTTCCGAACGTTTTCGTTTTTTGTTATGAAGTGTTTTTATAGGTGTAAAGGTGGTGTGTGATTGTGAGTTTGTTTGTGCGTTTATAAGTTTTCCGTTTTTAAGTGTTATTTGTTTGTATATCTCGAGGTTCTCCAGTATGTTTAGTTTTCGTCCTTTTTGTGCGTTGTGTATTAATGTAATGCTTGTTTCTATTGTGTTTGATTCGTGGTTGTAGTAGTTGTATTAAGTGTGTGGCGTAAATTGATTTTCCGTCATTGTCTCTGAAGGATCTAAGATGTTCTTCGAATCGATCTCTTAATTTCCTTCCAGTCTGTCCAATATAAGTATATCCGCATTACATGTGATGCTATCAACACCGTTGCTGTCTAGCGGGTTAGTTGTGCCTATGTTTCTTTTTAGTAGTTTACCTGTGTTATTGTTGGTCCTTAGTGCTGTATAGATAACACAAAAAAATTAAAATATTATACATAGATCTTTCACGACTTCTTGATAAACCTTCAAACGTACATTTCACGAATAAAACGTAACTTTATAACACCTTAGTGAAGTTGATACGGATTGGAAGTTTGGGTTTCACACGATGAACCATCATCTGAATAGGGAAAGGAAACATCATCTCAACCCCAAACTTCCAACCCGTATCAGCTTTACTAAGGTTACGTATTATTTGTTAAATGTATGCTTTAAAGTGTATCAAGAAGTCATGAAAGATGTATGTATTTTCAATCTTTTGCAGTTCGGGGTCTGGTGATTCATCATTTGTAGCTATAACAGCCCTAAGTGCCGCTATTCGGAGAGAGATATTTCGAAGGATAAAAAAACCGAAGTTAGAATTTTTTCGGAGAGTAAACCTTTCTGGGTTAAATATTAATTTATTTTCACAAGTCTCCAGTATTGGTTAGTGTTGCTGATTCTTTTACGTGACAACGACAAGAACAGAATTGCTTGAGAGGATCGCTGTATCGTCTGCGTAGTTTGAAAATAAAAAGGGGACCAGAACGCTACACTGAGGAACACTAGCAAAGGTAAGTAGTAGTAGATAATGCGTTTGCACTACAATCTCTCCTTTAGATTATTTAAGGTGAGACATAAAATTAACAAGTGATGAATTTAAACAACAAATTAGCATCAAATTCACTAATACTTGGCATAATTGTCCGGATGTATAATTTACATCTAGCGATATCGTCATAAATGCTTTGTTTTATTAACTACTGCATTTATATCCTATTAGTCAGGTTTGTGATTTTGTGATTCGTAAGGTCCGTGTAGGTAAAAATTCCAAGTAATCCGATCTTTTAGCAATGCAAATCAAACGGTAGTACCACTGGGAGTACGATGGTCGGATTACACGTTATAAGTTCCTTGTAACGTTTAATAATTAACATAAACAAAAATAAACAGTATTATCTCCTATTTGATCGTGGTACCTTTCGGGTGTTTAACAAGTAGTTACAAAGGGAGAAAAAAAGGACAAATTAATGGGTCCAACAGAGAAAACCTGAAATTCAGCAGATGCGCTGTGTTATTAGCCGGCCTATAATTAACTCGTAAATAAACTTTTTTTTAAACACACAAATGTTTAAATATTATTGGGAACAAGGAAAAATTTCTATGAAAGGGTTTATTATTAATGATATAAGCATTTTTTTTCTTAGTTTTTTGGTAAATACGAGGTTTTTATAGACTAATTACTGAAAAATGTACTACCGTAAAATAATTTGTCGTTTCTCTCTCTTTGTTTTATTTATTGAGCATCATATTACCGAGGGTTGATGATTGATGATAAATTAAAAAATAAAAATAAATTAACCCTGGTTTTGACCAGAACACAATTTTTCCCCGAGAAAAAAAGGCAAAATTTCATAATTACTCGTCATCTAAATCTTGATTATTTATATTTACATTAGAATTTGTTCTGATGAAAAAGGAATGAGTATTTAATTAACTATTAATAATTAAATTAAAACGTAGACTGTTATTATATCATTCTAATAACTAAATAAGTATCTAGATAGGTAGAATAAATAAGTATGTATGAACACACATATATGTAGACTAGTCAACTGCGCTGGCTTTATGATAAACTGTTCCAAATCTAATTACTCCCACACTGGGTCCGTTTATTTTCGCTAGTTTGCCGACAATGAAAACCTGTATAACACGTAACCTCCACTCGCAGGCCGACCAATAGCAAATATTTATTCAATAAAAAGAAGATATATTTTCTTATTAATTTTAACATTTTTTAGATTAAAAATTAATTCAACTATTTTATTGTTCCATATATTTTTCGGCCATATTTTTTTCATAAGTGTATAATGATAGACAAGGCCCGACGGATCGGGGTACCGTGATATGATCAGGAATGATCCATGTTGAGATAAAATTCCGCAATTTTCAGAGGACCAGGCCATTTTTCATTTATGTTGACACAACGCCGTATCAAAAATGCGGTAATCAAGAGGTGTTATAAATCGCGTGTATAAATGGCGTGTTTTTCGCCATCACATGCGGATGTCGAAAACAGCCCCCTTCCCGGCTAAATAGGAATGTTTAACACTATCTGACAAATTCGTCAAAAGTGAAATTTGTACAAAACCTTAATCCTCCTCCTCCTCTCATAGCCCGTTTCAACCGTCACTGGCTTTTATAATTAACGAGCAAAGCGTTTTCTAGAAGGAACAAAAAATTAATGGAGAAAAGAAAACGCTGTCTTGCATCTGCCCCGAAGCCTCCCGACAGATTAAATTATTTGAATTAATTTTAATTAGTAGATTATGCTTCTCACCTCGTCTTCGCTTGAGCCGACCTCGTCAGTCAGGTTTTCACCAGATGCCCTCCTGATCCTTTGCACGACAGGCTTCCACTTTTTAGACATTTTGAGGGTTGTCGGCTTGTCTCCAGAGCCGCTCTCGATCGCAAAACCATCCAGAATTCCTTTCACGTTCTAAAACAATTTTAAATCAAACTAAAATTTAGATTTTAAAACTTTAGGATATTAAGTACATTAAATAACGTTTCATGAAATGAATTGGAATTCTTACAAATAATGGTTTGAATGGATGTTTTTAAACTTTTAATACTCTCCAATACTTATTTAGAAATCGTGAGATGGGGTCTGGTGTGATGTAGGTTTCAGAGAAACATTTTCTTTATCGTGCCAACGTTTCGATCTTTATTGAGATCATCTTCAGGGCATGGGTTTTACAAACATAGTTTACATATAACAATTACATTTTGGATGTGGAAAAGAGAATTTATACAATGCAAAATATTAATAAATTCACTTTTCCACATCCAAAATGTAATTGTTATATGTAAACTATGTTTGTGAATCCCAGGCTCTGAAGATGATCTCAATAAAGATCGAAACGTTGGCACGATAAAGAAAATGTTTTTCTGAAACCTACATCACACCAGACCGCATCTTACGATTTCTAAATAATAATCAAAAGAGCGTAGATATACCAAAATGGCTCGAACCGACCAAATTACCAACCGACAGACCACTAAATGAAAAGTCATAATCAAAGCCACACAACGGGGTAGGTGAACTCCCGTAATGTATAGACACTACGGTCAGCACATCAAGTAGCAAAATCCCTTCGGTGTAAATGTCCGCATACTCAAAGGTTGAGAAAAATATAATAAATAGGATAAAGATAGAGTGTAAAAGTAAGGATTATTCCTTTGAATTTAACACTTTATATTCGGTTAGAATTATAATTTTTTTTTGTTTTCCTTCATTTGCATACTCCAATAAATTACTGCAAGCTGAATATAAAATATTATTATCTGTACATACAGATAAATACATTTATCGATTAACGGTCACTAATCACCACACACTCTCCAATACCACCACTGAAATATACACTGACAGGCAAAAATTCCACCCAACTGATTTTTTTGTATTTGTTGATAAAAGAACATTCTGCTCTTAACTTGCTTCATTGTTTAAATAAATATTTGTTTATGCAATGTTTTAAATTGGGAATATCAATTAACCATAAAAATACTTAATCCTTAATTCAAAACAAGGATAAAGAATATTTCAATGTATACTTTTTACGGAATTTAAAATGTTTATCGAGTCTCATTTGAATTCTGAAGCAATAAATGTTTAATTTTTATCTCTGTTTTCTTAATTTATTCAATTTTTGCACATAAAATTGCCACTTAGTGTTGAGGATGTTGCGCGTGGTGTGGAACTTATTGATGATGGACGTTCCATAAGGTTGCGGCTATTGCCACGGAGGTTACTATGAAACTCTGCGAGATGCCGTTAGACGTTTTCGAGAAATTGGGTCCTACCATAGAAGGCCCGGTTCTGGACACCCCGCGGTAACAGAACCACAGGATGACCGTTTTTAGACTTTAAGCATTTTGCGAAACCGGCACATTACAATTGTTCAAGCGATTCATCAGCTCTCCAGGAAGTTCGAGGTGTCCAAATTTCTGACCGCACTGCTCGAAGAAGATTAAATCAGCATGGACTGATACCTTTTCGTCCCGTAAGAGGACCAGAATCGACCAGAACACACAGAGTTGCACGGCTCGCATTTGCTCGAGAACCCAGCTATTGGTCTTTAGACGATTGGTCTACTGTACTTTTTACAGATGAGTGTAGATTCGCTCTACTATCTCCAGATAAGCGTGAAAAATTGTGAAGAAGGCAAAATTAAAAGTAAAAGCCTGTAAGTTTTCCCAGAGAAAATCTTTTCAACGTAGCTCAGTGATGGTGGGCGGAAATTTCAATGGATGGTCGCACAGAGTTGGTTGTTCGTGGAGGGTCTTTGACGGTCACTCGCAATGGGCATGATTATTTGGAACATCATGCGTTGCATATCCTTGACGGAATCAAAGACAATCCTACTCTAATGCATGATAATGACCGTCCACTTGTCGCTCGCATAGCACAAACGTACTTTCAACAGTATAGTATCAGGGTCTTAGCCTGGCCAGCCTTTTCTCCAGACTTGAACCTCATCGATCATGTATGAGATAACCTCAAAAGACGAATAAGAGCACGTCCATCACATCTGATACATTCCACGATCTTGAAAATACTCTTCGTAAAGAATGGGCTAAACTCCAGCCAAGAGACATTTCGAGACTGGTAGAAAGTATGCCAAGGCGTCTTCAAGATGTAAGTAAAGCAAGAGGAGGGAGGAAATTCGCGATATTGAAATATCAATTAAAAATCTAAAACAAATTTTATCAAGCCGTCTTTTTTTATTTTTCATTTTCCTTATGAATTTACATTTTTTTATTTTTTTTAGACAAAGACTCAATTATTAAAGTTAAAAAACGTGAAACTTTGATTAATATGTAAAAATATTTACAAATAAAATTATATTGCAAGTGGGCGGAATTTTTTGCCTGTCAGTTAATATTGGATATAAAATTCACAGCGGATATTTTTATATTTCTCAAAATATTCTTGGCGCCATATTACGAAAGATTTTTCTCGTGATATCCGTTAAACACAAATGTTATGTATAACTCCCATAATAATTAAAAAATGTTAGGCTAACAGTTTACATTATTATGATGAGTGGATGAAGGAGCTAGATGTCACTGTGGTTTCTTTGTCTCTCTGAGAGACTAAGAGAAAAAGTGTGAGTGTCACAAGTGGAGAGAAAAATATAATAATAAAAAGAGAGAAGGGGGATTGAGAGAATATCAAAACGAAAGAAAGAAACAGCAGAAAATATCAAACAAGCAAAAGAAAAAAGGACAGAGAGTGAGAAAGAGGTAAACAGAAAAATAGAACCGAAACATGCACAAAACAGAAATAACAAGAGAGAAGGAAAAAAAGAGAGAATAGATAAATGAAAAGAGAGAGAGAGAGAGTGAGAGAGAGCAAGAGATAAAGAAAAAAAAGGGAAAGGGCGAGTGATAAAGAAAGAGAGACAAGAAAGACAAGCAAGTATAACGAGTGAAACATAAAGCGAGAAAATAGCAAGATAAGAAAGGTTTGTTACCCTTAAATTGTAAAGGACCACGTGAATATTGAACTCCCTCTTTTTTTCTCTTAAAATCACCACGAGGCTACAAGATAATTTTATTAGCTGCCCCAACGAAAGGCAACGCTGCGCCTACCCTCAGGCCTGAGCGAGCGTGGAAACGCTCTGGAGAAAGAAAGGTAGCCTCCATTTTAACAATCTTGTTTCCTCCTTGAAAAGCAAACTTTTATGGCTACAAACTAAAGAACGTAACAAGGGGTAAAGGAAAAAGAAAGAGAAATTGAAAAAGAGAGACAAATAGAAAGAAAGAGAAAGATAGAAAAACAGAGGAAAGGGAAAGGAAAAAGTTAAAGCAAAAAAGATATGAGAGAAAAACAGAATTACGGGATGAAAAGGGGGGGCGAAAAAAAAAAGTACGAAAAAGAGATGGAGATAGAGAAAGGGAGAGTGAGAGGATAATGATTACATGATACTATTTAACCTGAAAGATAACGTTGTAGTTAGTTAAACAACAAGTTTATATTTTTTTATTAAGTTTTATTTTTTTATTTGTGTTTAACTGTGAAATCACGTTGTTCAATTGTAAAATTCGTATAAATTGGATACTTTGATTTTGAAACTAAGCTTTGTTCCATTTTTCATAATAATCCATTTACGTTTTAGTGATCAATTGACCAAGTTACTTCTTGCAATTAATTATTCGTTGTATGAAAGGTCTTGGTTGAGATAAAAAGTCAGTGTCACGAGATGGATTCGAACCCGCTAAATACGCCGCTACTCTACCACTTGAGCTATGGTAACTTCGACCCTCTCGGACAGCAACTCTCCAACTCAACCTACAACCGTTCAAATTTTCCGTCTTTTTTGCCATTTTCAAATGTTGTGTAATCAAGTTTGGATTTTGTGTGTGGCCACGGGGAGCTGTTTAGTGAAGTGATACTTCATTTACTTATTAAATGTTAAACAATTTAAGTTTTTGTGCTCAATAACCAAGTTACTTCTTTAAATTAATTATTCTTTCTATGTAAGGTCTTGTACTTCATAAGTAGATGAGAATCTAATCCTGCTTACACGACATTTGAAAATGGCAAAAAAGGGGGAAAATTTGAACGGTTGTAGGTTGAGATGGAGAGTTGGTGTCCGAGTGGATCGAAGTCACGATACCACAAGTGGTAGGGCAGCGGTGTATTTAGCCGTAGGTCGTGGGTTCGAATCCCGAAAGAATAATTTTTCATAAACTTGATTCAAGTGTTTTGCTGTTTACTTTTTTCTGCCTTATTTGTGCGAGTTGATTTCATTTTTTAATGCTGGCTTACTAAACAAATGTGTGACACTTTAGTTGTATTTTTATTTACGATGAAGTTGTAGCAGCTTTATCTACGTCAGTAATTACTTTTTTTTTAAATTGAACCTAACACCAACAAAAAAAGATTATAATTCAAATTTCGAATTGTAAAAGATGAAATGAAGATGTTCATTTGACCTTTAACCGTTGGAGACGCGGCTCAATGGAATTTCTGAGCCGGGAACAATAGAGGTTCAGAATTCTTTCGACCTGGTTAAAACACCCTCTGGATATTAAAAGGCATTAAGCGCAGCGCCTGCTGTTGGCTTTAATGATCGTATATCAAGTGAGCAAAGACCTGCAAAAGCGGGAACAGCAATAAATTACAGATAAATGAAGAAAGGCGAGAAGCGACAACGAACTGGCTCAACAGAAAGGATGTTCTCGGAAAGAAAAGTCCTCCTTGGGTCTTACAAAGTAGAAAGAGCTAGGTGTTTCCACCTTACACAATTTTCTCATCGCCCATAAACTGCTTAAACAAATAGTCTATTTACATAGTATATGTACTAATTTTTTTTATACTCTTACCGAATTTGAACATTGTAGGAATGGCATTTTCTTAACAAACATTAACAGAGAGGATGTTCAGTAAAACAAATATATATATAGGAATAAATAATTAAAATACAAAAGGTAAGTAATACATAAAAACGTGTAGGACTCAGCGGGTATATACAGACTCAGAAAATCGATCAAATTAATGGTTTATCGCTTCGAAGAACTCGGCGAATAATCTCATGATTACTTTAATTAACTATTTACAAATATACCTCCATTCGATTTCGTGGTCCGATTGTACAAATCACTTTTTTCAATTAATTAATTTTTATGAAAGGTTTTGGTTGAGATAAAAAAAGCCAGTGTCACGAGCGGGATTCGAACCCACGATTTTCGCCTAAATACGCAGCTGTTCTACGACTTGAGCTGTCGTGACTTCCACCCACTCGGACACCAACACCGCATCCGAACCTACCTTTCGAATTTTCTCTCCTTTTTTGCCATTTTTCTAATGTCGTTGTTTTATTTCAACCAATACCGTAAATAAGGATTAATTAATTGAAAGAAGTTATTTTGGTCAATCGGACTATGAAATATAGATAGACTTAATATTATAGTGCCACATGAAATAGATCAGGGATAAGCCCAATTGTTATTAATTTGAAACTATTTCTTTTAATTTGACTTCGATCCACTTGGACACCAACTTCCCATGAAAAATGGCAAAAAGGAGGGAACGTTCGAAAGAGGAGGTTGAGTTGGGAAGTTGGTGTCCATGTGGATTGAAGTCACATAGCACAATTGGTAGAGCAGGCGGCGTATTTAGCGGAAGGTCGTGGGTTCGAATCCCGCTCGTGACACTGGGTTTTTTTTATCTCAACCACTACCATTCATAAAGATTAATTAATTGTAAATGTAACATTATTATTGATTAATTATTACTAATGTTTATTTCTTTAATGGATTCATTTATTTGTAGACAAAAATATATTATTCTGACATTCATAAAATAATATCATAAAGAAGAAAATTTAAACTCAACTGTTACAAAAAATAACATCATTTTGAACAAGTTCAATCATTAATAATTTCAGTTTTCCATTTTTTAAACTATTTATTTCAAATGTTACTTGAACGAAATATTTTATGAGGTCAACAATAATTATACATCAAGAAAGAGTGTGATTAACTATTCAATACAATCGAGACCTTGAGATGAAGTATGAAGTTGGATTATTAACTTAAGAGGGGAACAGTGTAGACCGTTCACCGTGGACGCAGGTCGATCCAAGTTTTGGTTGGAAAACAATTAGCAAACTACAACATGGGACCAGACTGACACTAACATCACTCAGAATTGTGCAAAACAATTTTTTTAAAATTACCGTGGCGGTTTATTTCCGTAACATAATTTCGCATTCGAACCGAAAACAAATGGCCATACATTTTGTACAGTTTGAGAAATAGAAAAGATTTCAGTCAATGAAGGTAATCACTCGTGTGGGATAATCCTATATTTGCTACATGAGAAACTTTGCATTGATGTTTCTTTTTTTGTAATTATTTGATCTTTGTTATTGGAAGTTGTATAGTACGAAAAAAATAGAAATGTTCATAGGTTAGCCTTATTTACAGTCACTTTTCTAAATATTTACTCCATTTTTAATTCTTTTCTGGTTGACGTTTCAAAACAAGATATCTTTTTGAAATGAAGATAGGAGATTTTGTTTTTGTGAATAACACGAGCAAAGGTCCAGATGGTTTTCCTTTCATATTGCTCTATGAATGCAGATTCTCACTTTTTAAACCGTTCTAATATTTAACCTATCACTAGCAACAGGTGCGTTGTCAACAAAATGGAAAACAAGCTATATTAAGCCAATTTTCAAAACTGCTGAGAAAAATGTTGTAATCAAATATCGGCCAATAGGTATTCACATATATCGAAAATCATTGAAAAAATAATAAATGACAAACTCACACCACATTTCAATGATATCATCATATGCGATGAACAACATGGCTTCACCAAACATAAATCCACTTTAAGTAACTATCATTCCAATATGATGTTCTACATGCTTTTGAAGCCCAAAAGCAAATTGACATGGTACATACAGACTTCTCAACAGCTTTTGACATTAGCCATTGTATTTTACTCTAAAATTTGAATGCAATTGATGTTCATGGCCATTCACTGATAAGAAGTTACTTAAATAATAGGATCCAATATGTTATCATTAATGATATCTCATCCAATCCCATTGTGTTCATATCTGTTGTTTCGCAGGGAGGACGACATTTATCAACTACATTATTTAATATATTTATAAATGGCATTAAATCATGTTTTAAAAATTTTAAATGTAAACTTTTTGCAGGTGACCTTAAATTTTACAGAACCATAGATTGTGCAACCGACTGCGATATTATCCAAACAGAATTAAATAACTTAGTGACGTGATGCTCAGTAAACTGCCTAGAACTTAATGTTAAAATATGTGACTTAATACGCTTCCATCGTATTTGATGCCTTTTAATCTGTGACTATAAGATCTGTGATATTAAATTTCCTTCACTAGACTCCATAAAGGACCTAGGGGTAATTTTTGATTGATTTTAAGTTAACGTTCCTTGAACATATAGAATATATAAAAAAACAAAAGCCTAAAATGCTAGGTTTAATTAAGCGTAATGTAACTAATAAAAATAACATTAATGCCATTAAAAACCAAAATTTCGCTTTGGTCAGGTCCAACTTAGAGTATAACTCACCTGTTTGGTCACCCTATTTCAATAATCATGTATATACTTTAGAAAAAGTGCAAAAAATTTTTAACATTCTGTGGACTCAAACTACAAATACGGCTTGAACCAGACGGCCATTCAACTGAGATCCGAATTAGGTATAAATCCACTAGAATCTATAAGATCCATGACTAATGCTCTAATTGTTCAAATAACTAACAATATAATTAAATGCCCCTCTCTACTAGAAGAAATAAAATTTCATGTACCTGCCTATAGAAATAGACAAACAGAGTTGTTTCATATAGCACACCATAAAACCAATTATATGAAAAATACTCCCCTGGAAAAGGTTTATAAAATAGTAAACTGTGCAAACGACCAACTAGACATGTTTTACCAGTCACAAAACTGTTATAAAAAAGAATTACAGTCAATTCTAAACCACTAAAGAAAATCATGTATCTCTTCAAGTTTGATTTTACTATTTATAATGTATTTGTTATATTTGTATATGCCTCTATTATGAAGTTTGTAATGTATACATACTGTGTAAATTCAAATATTTTCCGTAAATAACGATATCATTGGGAGCATATTTGGACCATTTGTTAATCCAAAAATAATTGGTAACCGTTTTATGAGTAATACTAAATTCCTACTAAAATCATTGTCTCTAAAGAAAGTTTTAATGAAAAAATATTACAAAATACTATTGTAGTTTGTATAGCACAAAATCAAGAACACTTATTAAAACTTATTAAAAAAAAACAAACAAAAAAGTGTACTAGAAGCAAACTGAGTAAATATTTCGGGTCATACTCGTTTAATTAACATACGGATGCTCTGGACGAAAATAGCACTTTTAGAAATATTTTCGTTAAAGTCTTATATGTACTGATCAGTTTTTACTCAATACTCAGCATCTCTTTCCAGTTTTCAACCAATTTTAAGGTCATCATTAAAGAAACCAATCTTAAGGTGTCTACAAATGATTGAATAATTACGTATTTAATAAATCGGTTTAATTATTTAAAACCATTTATTAACAACTTAATTGAGTTAATTTGTCATTTCATCTGATGATGACTTAAAATAGGTAGAAAGCATAGCATACTACATAAAATTTGCTTTTTCATCAAGATAATTTTTCTTCCCAAGAAACAAAGTTTATATTCGTTTTTTACTTTTTAAAAAAACCACGAATGCAAATTTTCGGAAAGTCAAAAAATATTTTTTACCTATAGACCACTTTCCATATGAGAAGATTGTTTTAAATTGCACAAACTTTTTTTCTATTACAACGACATAGAGAACTTTCTGTGTTTTTGAAAAGTTCAGTTGTAAGCTGGGCCAAAGTTGGGCCGTAAGTTAGGTTGAATTCAGGACAGATGAGTTTCGAACCCGGGGCTTTTACAGTGATGAATCACCGACCTTGTGCCGACCCTTGCTTTTCAGGTTTCAATGATCATCAATAATTTATTTTAAAATAAGTATTTGCACTGTTATTAATTTTAAATTATTCTGAATGTAATTGGGTAACAGCCGGTAAAGTTAATTTTCTCCAACTATTCGTCTGGTTGTATTTATTTCACAATTTTTTTTTAAAGAAAATAATTTTGACGAATGCTTTCATCAATTTTCCTGTCATTTCTTTGCAAGTATGACATTGGTCGAGGTTTGTAGATTAGTTTGTTTTTATTAATTATTGTGTAAGGAAACCTCAAGGCTATGCAAGATTATCCAGCAGAGTAGAATTTGGTTGGATTTTTTACTATCGTTAACACAAACGCCAAAAAATTTTTGTTAACCCTCGAAAAGTAAACGGTTCCCCTTCATTATCGTCATATTACGAAAGGGAATTACCTTTTCTATATCCGTTAAAGATTCATTGTGGGGGTCGATGTTTTCTTGGCCAAACATCTGATTCCTGAAAAACTGCTCCTTTTTTGCTTTCCATTCCTACAAAATAGGAGATTCTTAACGTTTTCTGATATAACATCAAACTCTTATTTGTACTTTTTCGTTCGAAACATTTCGAAACAGATGGAGAGGTTTTTTTTAAGTTGTTGCAAAGGGGAAAAAGCGTCGTCGGACAAAGCGAAGACGTTTGACTCCAAGTGCGGATGGTATATCACTGCCTTTGTATTGATTACTAGACCTTATACTAGTATTCTGGGGAGCATCAGCTAATTGGGGTTTAATAAAAGCGGTGAGAACGTCCGGCAATGTCTACAACAGGAAACCACTCAAGCCGATTGGATCCTTATTAATCCCTTCTCGTTTCGTTTCGCCACGAGACGATGATTGAAAAGGGAAATGATGCAAAAGATGACGTCTCGGGAACAAGCCTGGAAAACTGTAATGAAATGGGACGGATACCGATCGATCCAAGGACATAAAGGAAAAATGAATAGACATTATATGTCTATGACAATTAAGAGAGTCTTCGTAGAAAAAGCAGAGTGCAAGAACGACTACAGACATCATCACCAACCATTTTCATATCAATATTTTTATACTTGAATGTAGGATTAATAAAATCATTGAAAAAATACCTCTTTAGACATTGGCCGATCGTTGGCAGAACGTTTAACCTTCTTCACTAACCGATTCATGAACAGAAAATCCTTTAAAAAATATATATACATATATATCAATAAATTCAAAAATCCGACATCTGAATAAAGTAACTTATTTTGGACTTACTTGATGCAAGCCTCTTCGTAGTCGAGAAGCCTGTAAACAAGATAAAAGAAATCTTACATAAAAATTAAATTAACGGTCGATAGTTAAAAAAAAAAAATGAATCAATCTAATAGCAAATAAATATAAACAATTGTTATATAAACAATTCATTTTTCATTCAGTTTTAAAATTAAAAATTATATGAACATTTTTTTTATTGATCACGCATGTTTTGGTTTAAAGGAATATTATTTACTACACTGACACGCCAAAAATTCCTCCCAAATGATTTTTTTTATATTTTTTTTTTTATGGATTTAATTTGTCTCATTGTATTTATTAATAAATATTTGTTTATGCTATTTTTTAAATTGATAATATCAATTAGATGTAAACACACTCCTTAATCCCAAACAAGGATAAAGGATTTTTCAATGTTTACTTTTTACGGAATTTAAAATGTTTATCGAGTCTCATTTGAATTCTGCAGCAATAAACTGTTTTATTTTCATCTTTGTTTTCTTAATTTCAATTTGAAACTTAAAAATGCCACTTAGTGCTGAAGATGTTGCGCGTGGTGTGGCACGTGTTGATGATGGACGTTCCATCATGTATGCGGCTGTTGCCATCCATTCCTTACGAAACACTGCAAGATGTCGTTAGTCGTTTTCAAGCAACTGGGTCCTACCATAGTTGTGGACGCCCTAGGGTAACTGAACTACAGGATGAACGTTTTTTGACTTTAAGAATTTTGCGAAACCGGCACCTTACTGTTGTTCAAGCGATTCATCAGCTCCAAGAAGTTTGAGGTGTCCAAATTTCTAAGCGCACTGCTCGAAGAAGATTAAATCAGTATGGACTGATGGATATTCGCCCAGTAAGAGGATCTGAATTGACAAGAAAACACAGGGTCGCACTGCTCGCATTTATTCGAAAACACAGGCATTGGTCGTTGGACGATTGGTCTCCGACTTTCTACAGATGAGTGTAGATTTGCTCTACTATCGCTCAGATGAGCGTGAAAGAGTGGAGAAGGCGAAATGAAAAGGACGAAGCCTGTAATTTTTCTCAGAGCCAACCTTTTCCACAGATCTCGGTGATGGTGTTGGCGGGAAGTTCAATGAGGAGTCGCACGGAGTTGATTGTCGTTCGTGGAGGGTCTTTGACGGTCACTCGCAATGGGCATGATTATTTGGAACATCATGCGTTGCATATCCTTGACGGAATCAAAGACAATCCTACTCTAATGCATGATAATGACCAATGAATTGTCTCTCGCATAGTACAAACGTACTTTCAACAGTATAGTATCAGGGTCTTAGCCTGGCCAGCCCTTTCTCCAAACTTGAACCTCATCGAGCATGTATGAGATAACCTCAAAAGACGAATAAGAGCACGTCCATCACATCTGATACATTCCACGATCTTGAAAGTGCCCTTCGTGAAGAATGGGCTAAACTCCAGCAAAGAGACATTTCCAAATTATCAGTCGAAATATTAGTAGTAGATAGTATGCCGAGGCATCTTCGAGATGTAATTAAGGCAAGAGGAGGAAATGCGTCAAATGTTAATTAAAAATCTAAAACAAAATTAAAACAAATTTTATCTGTCGGTCTTTTTTTATTTTAATTTTTTATTTTTCATTTTCTTTAGCAATGTAATTTTTGTTTTCTTTTTTTGACTAAGACTCTATTATTAAACGTTAAAAAACTTGAACCTTTGATTAATATATAAAAATATATACAAATCAAGAATTACAAGTGGGTGCAATTTTTTGCCTCTTGGTGCAGAAAAAATTAGAAAATAATCTTTCTTAAAGTGAAAGCATAACGAAACTTCCAGAGGAAAGTTTTTATTTCCTTTTTTTGTATAATTTTATTGTAATTCCAAACCGTTTTTCACGTTATAAGTATTTAATAAATACATGATCAAACTATTAGGCTACTCTTCAGTTTATAGTTCATCTGTAAATAAATCAAATTAAGATTCCAAATGTTTTTGCATCGTACATATTTCCTCTTCGCGCATGTCATCATAACCATTATTTAAAAAAAGTATAGTTAATGAAGGTCGTAGCTTTTTGCTTTTTGAAACTTTTATATATATATATATATATATATAAGTTATGTACGAGTATAAACATTGTGTTAAATAAATAATGTGATGACAATGCAAGGATGCAGGTGTTGCTCCTAGAATTGTCATCAGCACTCTCTCCCACTCTAGAAATTTTATAAGGATTTTCATTTAACAAACAAGTTAGTCTTAAGTTCGATTTCCCGAAAGCATATCGACGAGATTTGATTTAGATTCATAAAGTTCTGAATGTATATTTTTCTCTGAATAAAAGTTTTTAAAAAACCCATTCGACAAAAGCAATTATTTGTATATATTATGTATATAAATATATAAATAACTTTTTGCATTTTTTATATTTGCACTCACCGCATGTCGATGATGGTGTCCTGCATGGGCAAAGGTTTTTTCTCCCTAAAATATAAAATAAATTATTAATTAGTGGGATAATATAAGTCCTAAGCTAAAATATAATTTTTCAGTTAGTCCGCGACCTTCGGTTCGACACGGTACACATCACTTATCGAAGAAAGCCGGGACTAATCCGTTGCACAACACTCCTAACTGCAGTTTCTTTAGTTAAATACGTTCTTCTTTGAAAAGAAATTTTTAAATTTAATTTTTATTATTCTGTTGATAAATTTGGTTGGCCTCCGGGCGACCAAAAAAAAAAAAAATAAAATGTCCGCCGCCAGTGGCGGACATGCGTCGTTCGCCTCTGACAATGAAAGGGAAGGCAAGACCGAGACCAGGGAATCTTCTGGTATAGGAATAATCAGTGGCGAAAAAACCAACATCAGTCACCTAACCTTAAGCGTGAAAATAGTATGGGAAAACAGGAAAATCTTTTCTCAGTGAAAGATGCCCGTACCACGTATATCTGGAAGGTAAACAAGCGGATGGGCAAATAGGAGGTTCATCTCAGTTACACGCTATGTCCCTAGGAAAATTATCAACGAAAACCACTATAAAATCCGGAAAGACGCGAACATGTTAGTTAGCTGATTTTCTGAAAAGCAAAAATATAAAAGCGTACATCCCGTCTTTTCTTCTAGCAAGGGAGGGTGCAATCAGAGGAGTGGACCCGGATCTTCCTGACACTGAACTTTTACAAACTTTACAAATCGGAAATCCGTACATTCAAATATTATCAGCTAAGCGGTTTAAGAGGAAAGTCGACAAGCAAAAATCTGCCACGGAACCCGGTAATCTGGTTAACACTGGGACTGTTCTTATTACTTTCAAAGGACAGACATTGCCCGAATATGTTACTATTCATTATGTACGAACCTTTTGTCAAAAATGTGGTCCTATGTTTCAAGGTTTGCGCTATGGGCACGTAAAGGAGCACTGCAAAGGAGCTCTAAGATGTACTCATTGTCTAGGAAAGCACGAACAGAAAGATTGTGATCAGAAGGATATCGAGGTGACATGCTTGCATTGCAAAGGGACGTACTCCGTATTCTCCCGAAAAGATTGCCCAGAGGATGAAAAACAAAAAAAGATAAAAAAATAGTAATGGCAGTGGAAAACATATCTTATAATGACGCCATTCCAGTAGTAACCAAAAAATCATATGCAAAAGTTACGACTGCTCCTGCTAGGAATGATTCATCAATATTCCCTGAATTACCTCCCCCTTCAACGCCCATTCATAGATGGACCAAAACCGTCTCTCAAAAGAGAAGAAGCTCCTCTCCTCCCGGAGAAGATATGGCTCAAATTAAAAAAAAAACTTTATAGTCCAATTACTCCAAGTCCAAAAAACTTCCCGGAGGATTAAAACCACACAACCCACACCGCCCTAAAGGAAAAGATGATGAGAAAAACGCAAATTTCGCTATCATTTGTGAAGCCGTCTTCCGCGTCATAAATAAGGTTATAGAAAACAAAAATGAAGATGCCCAAGTCCCCAAATTTGCAGGACGTTGTCCAAAGTAGTGTAATGAGTCTTCCTATTTTTCAAAACATGAAAGGTCGTTCTGACTTAAATTTAGAAAACTAAAAAATTGAACCGATTCATATGTTGTTAAATTTTTCTTACATGTGGATAGATTATGTTCTGTTGCCTGTGTTAAATGCTATCTCTTTCCAAGATGATTGTTTACTCCCTCATATCGTTGTAATTAATGGCCAACTCTTGTAACATTAACTTAAATTGCATACAATGGAACTCTCGATCATTAATGACAAAAAAGGAAGTTTGGAAGCCCTAATGGATGATAAGAAAATTGACTTGGTTTTCTTATCTGAGATCTGGCTGAGCCCTACTACGGTGTGCAAATTTAGCTCATTTTATTTTCACAGAAATTATAGGGAAGTTGGGTATGGAGGCGCCGGAATTTTGATTAAAAATAATTTACAATTTGTAAACTACTACATCAATCTTCCCAGTCTAAAAATATTTATGATAGGCATTCAAATAGTCCAGGGTAACTCGAACCCGATTACCATTGTTTCGGTCTACGTTCCACCTTCGGAAGAAATTTCTTTCGTAGAGGTGGATACATTTTTTAAAAGCCACCCCAAGCCGTTTTTGGTCGCCGGGGATTTCTACGCTCATCATACTGCTTTCAGTTCGGAATGGACCGATAAATTAGGAAAAGATCTCCTATAGGCCATGGAAGATAATAATGTCATATACGCTAATGATGGCTCCAGCACCAGAATAAAAACACCTAGATGCCATAGGAGTTCAGCAGTAGATTTAACAATGACATCGACAGGAATAACCGCTGTCGCCAAATGGCAGGTGCTCGAGGACCCAATGGGCTCTGACCACCTACCCATTCTGTTCTCTCTCTCGAAAGCAGTCGCTCCAAACTCTCCGAAGAAATTTTTCCGAAAAAACGGAAAACGGAAAAAACAAACTGGTCGGAATACGCAGACTTGTGAGAAAAAAATTTCGCTCGACAAGAAAGAGCTAAGGGATTATGAGTCGATTGTCAATGCTATGTCCGATATAAGACTAATGTATTCCATAAGAAAAGCCCGGGACACTCTTCGGAAAACCCTGAGCAAGGTCTGGTGGAATGCGGATTGTGAGGCTGCTGTCAAAAAACGCAAAACTGCTTTTATAGAATACAGAGTTAACCCTACATTTGCAAACTACGAAGCCGTAAAGGCCACTCAAAAAGAAGTTAATACTGTCATTATGAACGCCAAGTCCGTTTCCTGGAAAAACTATTGCTCTTCACATAACAAGAACTCACCAATAACATCTATCTGGATGTTATTGCATTAATAACGTTCCATGTTGCCCTCGGGCCCCCATTGTTTTTGGTCAGTGGACAATAGATCTAATAAACAATCTGTCTATCTGGCCCAGTTAACCGTCTTACTTTCAACAAGTCCGAAGCACATGACTCAGAACTAACTGACTTCTTTACAATGTCAGAACTAGAAGGTGCTTTAAGGAAAAGTAACAACTCTGCGACAGGGTTAGATCAGATACAGTACAGTATGATCTCCAACTTACTACTTTGAAAGAGGTCCTATTAGAAATACTTAATGGATATTGGTCTGTAAAATCAATGCCTGACATCCGGAAAGTTACTGTTGTGCTTTTGATTAAAAAACTGGGGAAGCGACCAAACGATCCAAGATCATATCGCCTCATTTCATTAATGTCATGCATGCTGAAATCTTATGAACGGTTAATTAAAACTCGTCTAGAATGGTGCCTCGAAAGAAACTGCAAACTTCCTGCCACCCAGTTCGGCTTTAGGAGAAATAAGTCGGTGGTCGATGCTCAGCTATCGCTAATTGGAGACGTTTATCTCGGCTTTTCATCCCACGAAAGCGTATTGGGCTTATTTCTAGAATAAGTGGAGCCTATGATAATGTCGATCTATGGATCTTATGATCCAAACTCGTTGATTTACTACTCCTTATAGATTTTGGACGAATTGTCATGAATATAATATCTAAAAGGAGTATCTTCGTGAGCATTAATGGTGACCGGAGAGGTCCTTTTAAGACTTTCTCTCCCTCAGGGAGGTATTCTTAGCCCTATTCTCTTCGCTATCTACACCGCGGATTTAATGTCGATCATCCCTGAATATATAAAGACAGAACAGTATGCCGATGACATTTGCATATACGTGAAGGACAAAAGCATCCCTGAGTGCAAGAAAAAATTAGATGAGTTCATGACGAAACTTAAAACGTGACCTGAATGGACTAGAGATTTCTGAAACGAAATCGATCTTATGCCAATTCACGCGTAAGCGCAAACACGGACTACCAGACAATGTTAAATTAGGTGACTATGATTTCCCAGTCAAGAGTGACACCCAATTTTTGGGACTTCTCGTCAATTCAAAGATGAACTGGACTCGACATATTAATGAGCTGCTGGTAAAAGGCGAAAAACTATTTAACATTCTTAGAAGTTTTAAAAGCTCTCGGTGTGGAGCAGACCCAGCTACAGGCCTACTATTTTACGATCGGTGTTAGATTACGGAGCAATATTTTACGGCCAGTCGGCAGACTCCCACCTGAAAAAGGTACAATTATTTATAAATAAATGTCTCCGTCGAATTTTAGGGTGCCTACAAAGCACTCCCGTAATAGCCATCTGTGCGGAGGCAGCTGAGCTACCGTTTAATTCCAGCATTAAAAAGCTAGCTATCAACAAAATCATCAACTTGTACCAAAATGATAGCCCCATTGTGTCCAAAAAGCTACCGTAGCATCGCAGGATCTATCATCTATTCGGAAACTATTCGGGGTTTCTTCCATGGTTTTCAAACCATATGTTCCAGGCGGATGCCAGGGAACACTTTGTAGTCCATTATATCATTTTCACTGATGGTTCTCTGGTGGAAGGTAAGGCTGGCTTTGCTCTTTATGACTCAGTACGGAGGAAGAATAAAACATTTTCTCTCCCTGCAAATAGCTCCATTTTCTCTGCCTAATCCATAGCTATTCTAAAGGCATTAGGGTATGTACAGAAAATAGATGTTAAGAAAATTGCTACCGTGACTGATTCAAAAAGTATTGCCTAGAGAAAACAAATTACCAATTCGAAACTGGACCATGTAACAGTAAATATTTTGCTATTGTATAGGGAACTGGTCAAGAGCGGAAAAAATAAAACTCTATGCTGGATTAGAGGGCATTCAGGGATCCATGGGAATGAGCTGGTAGATGTGAAGGCGTAACAGGCTATCGATACAGGAGAATTCTGCGAATATATACAAAAAGCGATTGTAAACGTTAACTCAATGCGAGTTGGCTATCTGAGTGGCAGGAATTTCATAATGGCTCCGCAGGCGGATCACTGTATCGGTCCAGGTTCCCCGTGGTACCCAAGGCTCCGTGTATTCAAGGATGCAGTGCAACACGCGACTTCTATACCGTAATCACACGGATCAGAAGCAACCATGGCTTATGGGGTGCTCATAAATATAAGATTGGCCTGAGAGAATCTGCCAATTGTGCTTCCTGTGACTGTACAGAGGACATGAACCATATAATTATGGAATGCCCAGAATACAGAAAGATATGAGACAGAATGACATCAATGGCATCGAATCCTTGGTTGGAGTGGCCAGATCTTTTTCATTGGAAACTTTAACTACATCTGGGAGAAGAGACACATACCATCTAATTTATTGTTTCATAAGGGAAAGTTGCATTGAGGTGTAATTCAAAGGTAGGGTAACAAGGAGCGCGTGGTTCGCCTCGAGCCTCTTGCCACCTGCCTCACTAAGTGGTGGTATCATATTTAAAAAAATATATATATATTTGATACATGGATAATATAATATCATGAACCCCCCCCCAAAAAAAAAAAAAAAATTACTTTATAAAATTCCGGTTTCATGGCTTTTTCTTTCAGGCATTCTACCAAATATTCCAAAAGATCCCGGAAGGTTTTCTAAAATTAGAATAAGACAATCGTTAAACACATGATTTATAAAAAGAGTGATAGCGATACATAGTAAAAGAAATAAAGGTGGACAATTATTGCTTAAGAATACTCACATCGGGAGACATAATGTCCTTAGTAATGAAGTTGTAGACACATTCAAAAAGTTTATCCTTATCCATCATCGAAACCGCTTTGTAAAAGGCCTTCAATACTCGCTGAAAAATTTAATTATTTCACATATAACGTTGCTATACTGTAAACAAAGGTGTAATTAAAACACTGACCAATTTTTCCTTCGCCTGTTGTTCTCGGCTCATTGTATTATAATCGGTAGGAAACTGGGAAAAAAACATATTTATTAGAAATCTATAAAAAAATAATTTAACTAAGAAAAAAAATTACTTTACTATGCTCCAATTCGAGCCCGATATGCACCGCCGATGAAACAAGTATCTAATAAGTAAAAAAGAGTAGAGATTTTAGAAAAACTTTCAATAATTAAAAAAAAACATTAATTACAATTCCAGCGCTTTCCAACGTTACGGTGTTATTGCAACCTTTCATAGGGTCAGACGCAGATGTGTTTGAAAGAGAACAGCTCCTCAAGATTCCTTCCAACTGAAATGAATATTATATGTCATTTTTGTTCAGATTATTAATTACAATTTTCCAAAGTCATGAGGCGATACGGTAATTGTTGAATTAAGAATTATATTTTTAAGAAGACAAAAACATTTGTCTCACTTTATTAAAATTATATTTTCGTACCTAGTTTTTCTTTTATTTTTAAAAATCTTCAAAAATCAAATATTGATTATTTCAATCAGTCCGCTGATCAGAATTTTTTCCGAATTTTTATTAGAAACTTAGAAAACACAAATGTTTATCTCGAATGAAACGAATGTAAAAAATATTATAGGATTTAAAATCTCCTTGAATAATTAAGTCCTATGCTAAGAGAGGGTCCGGCATATAATATACAATTAGCTAATTGGGTAAATAATTTTAGTTTAGCTGGAACGTAAGCACATTGCTTTAATATTTTCTCTAAGATAGAAATTGAATGAAATATGGTTAGTTTACAAAAGGAATTATAATTTTAATGTATTTATCAAGATACAAAGCTAAAGATAAACTTATATCCATTTCCAGAAATATGTACATATAAATTGAAAATACTTTAGTATGGAAATTAAAATAAAAAGGGAAAATTAAAAATGTTTGGTTCTGATTTATAAGGATGAAATGTAATCAAAGAGAGGCGGAAAATAAACATAAAAAAAAATTTGGATTCGACTATTGGAGTGAGGAAGGTAACTCAATAGATTGAACACATGGATGAAGAAGTAACGACTGAACGTAGTAGTCTTCTGTTTTGTGAGATAGAGGTCAGAAGGGCGAATGATAATTTTACAACAATATTATTTGGAGATCGTGAGATGCGGTCTGGTGTGACGTAGGTTTGGAAAAACATTTTCTTTATTGTGCCAACGTTTCAGTCTTTATTGAGATCATCTTCAGGGCGCCAAGTGTTAAGATGTGTCAGTACCGTGTTCAGAGTGCCCACTAAATACCACGTATTTTAGAGTAGAGAATTTCAAGATGAGAGGACCGGGGAATATATCTGACGTTTCAAGCTGGAGTACCGATCAATCAAGTTCAAATGTATTTATTTCCGCGAATGGAGGTGTTTATCCCCCCAATTACCTCGAGGACTACCGGGCACTCTGGTAGTGTCATTGATTTGTCGTATGTGTATGTAACTTATTAGCGTGAATGCCAGGGTTTGTCCCCGATTATCCCAAGGAATATCATTTATTCTGAGATAGTGTGAATGTAATTGTTATAGTAAGAATGGGAGGAGGACATACCCCAAATTACTCCGAGGAGTATCGAATAGTTTGGGGTAGTGAGAGGGCTAACCAGACATCATGATTTTATTTACTTTCTGTGTATTTGTATTTGTTATATGTGTTATTTTATCCCCAATTGAAGATGCCCACATACAGAAACTCTTAATGAAATGTGATTTTGATCCTCAAGACATGAAGAGTCCGTTTTAACTAGTTTAAGAATAGGACACACGAGACTCACACATAGCCATCCTCCTGCATGTATAGTGTGTAACATTCCCATTACTGTGTAATATGTCAAACTGACTCTCAGAAATTATAGTAGATAAAACTATAACAATTGGCAGTCTAAAATTTCTAAAGAAAACTAATCTATTTTCAGAAATTTAAACTGGAAGTCTGGCCATAAGTGTGACATCATGCCAGATTTTTAAGGCGTAAATTACCCTTATGTCGAATGACCCCTTTATAATAATAATATTTTTTTTAAAGTGAGAGTTGATTACCGTTATATCATAAAATGTAATAACTTGGTTGGAAAAACAGTAAAAGAATTTAGAAGGAAAAAACCCGAGAAAGGTAAGATACAAAGCTAACAAAATCAGGGCTGGCGTTGATGAAAATGGCACTACTGATAGAATTTTTTGAGCCGTTTCAACACGGTATATTTTATTCCAATATAACTGAAAAAAAATAAAGATCAACAGAAACCTATTAAACGTTTTATTTTATATCGCCAATGCTAATTTATTTACAGAGATCAAATCTATGTCATTAAGTGTAAGTGTGAGACATCAAGCCGCTGTATAGTTTCCGGTAGATCAATGGATACATTTCAAAGCTATCATAAGTTTGGTGATTTTTCGTAAAAAATTCAGAGCAGTGGTTAGCAAAAAAACAATTTTTTTGAAATACGAAAAGAATCAATTTGCGGCCGAGAAAATTCGAAAATCTATTGATGTACACTGGGCACGTTTTGTGTCTATTAAAAGTTGTAAAATAGGTTAAAATGGTTTTAGTGCAAAGAACCAAAGTCAATGGTTGGTTATTGTGATCCGAAAAACCCATAAATATAAATAATTGAAATAATTTAATATTCACCCTCCAATAATGCCGATTTGTACAAAGTTTTTAAGGGTTTACAACCTTATAAACTACACGTAATGGTGCGTATTTGGTCTGCGTAAAAAAATGTAAACTCGGGTATAGACTAATGTAAAACGTTTTAGGGGTTATGATTTCATCTTTATTTTTCACTCATATATTAGCATAAAATCCATATATTGTTGATAGAGACACAAAGAAAAAAATAGAGCTTTTCAGTGGTAATAGCAATGTGGACATTTGGTCAAATCCATATGTCATATAAATTTTAAGTGAAACATGAGGCATCATAGAAAAACCTTTTTTGTTGGATATAAAATTTAATTTGCTAAAGCTTTAAAGAGTGGTTAGAACAGAAACGTGTGAGTTTGTGTGGTTGTGCTACTCCAACATGAGCCTTCAAGTTTTAGATGTACTGAAAATTCGTTTTTAGGATCGTGTTTTTTATGCGAACAAAATTTAATAAGCATATCTCTTAATGTGCGTTGTACAACTCTGATAGAACCTGGAGTTTAACAAAATTCGTTATGTTTTTGTTTGACTTTTGTAAACCAAGTAACGTGTTAAGGATAAATCGGTTTACAGAACGAAAAATGAAGCACCATAAAAATAATGGGGAATAAATTTTGATAAATTTAAATATTATGTTACGTGAGGGGGTGAAAACGTACTACAGAGGGTACATTTAGTTTTAATACTATAGTGGATTTTATGTGTTTTTATCCAAGTTAAATAAAAGCAAAAGGGTTAATACATAAAAACCTATAAAATGCGTGCACAACGAAGGAATGAAAACACATTTAAAAAAACATAAATTTTATAATTATTTTCTCGCCTCCTAGGAGAACGTTCGGATATGTATATTTTTCAAATTAGCATCATCAAAAAAGGTTTCATTTAAATTAAGACAGTTTGGAATTGACTTCTATTATCTATCGTATTTTTTATTCAATGTTATATTCGAATAAAACTATTTTCGAAAGCTGTAATCTCCTTTCCTTTTATTTGTATTGCTGTTGTTCGTGTTGGAACTTCATATTTGTACTTATAAGTCATACAATAACCTAGATTTTTTACCTGAAACTGCATCATCTTAAAGCTAAAAAATGATTAACATTGAGAGTATGCTTCTAAATTGTCATTGCAAAAATTATATTGACAATAATTACTAATGTTTTCGTTAATTCCTTTTATATAATTAAAATTACTACAGTACAACTTACTTTGTTATTAACACTGACGTTAAACAGTGTAATGTCCTCATCAAAACTCTCTTTTCCCTTAAACAAAGGCAATGAACGAAAATAAATTATATTATCAATTGTATAACCTAACAATAAATTATAAGAACAAGCTTAATTATAAAATGAAAATAATTTTTCCAAATTGTTTTTTTATTTTTTAATGTGTGTAAACTTAATTTAAATGGTATTTGTACAAAGAAAACTCACTTCAGACTCGTATTTGTGTAATTGTTTTCCTAACTGCTCCATCGTGATGGTGAAGAATTTGAAAAAATCCATCTACAATCAAACGTGTATTACATTAATTTTCTTTTATTAAAAAGTTGAGATTTCACTCGCTCACCTTGGCTGAATTGGGTATCGATTTGGCGTCTCTCTTAACACTTTTTAAATTTTGGGAATGCCTATTATCCCATGTTGTATTATTACTGGTGACCTGTCAAAAGTTTACCAATGTATTACTTAGCAATTGATTGACATTTTTCAATAACTATCGTCATCACACAATTTTTTACGTCATTTGTTATAATGATTAAGTAGTTTTTTGCATATCATACATATGTACATCTCTCTTTCACTGTCTCATTTTGTCACTCTCTCTTTCTCTCACTCTCTCTCTCTCTCTCTCTTTCTCTCTTCTCTCTCTCGCTTTGTGTCTTCCTTACCAATAAATTAACAGCCCGTTTTGCTATAGGTGTAATGCAGTAGACTTTGGGCACATTAATTTCTTCCCACTGTGATAAATACATATAATTTTACATATAAATAACAACTCTAGAAATCAATAGTTTGCTTTTATAATGTTTGTAGCGTAACGTACTATAAATAGGCTTGTAGGCTCTAATAATCTGGATTTTATCAATGCTGTCGTGTCTTTTAGTAATTGTCGATTGGTTTTCTATAAATAAATTCTATAATTAATAAAACATTCATCATAATTTAAAAAAAAATTTTTTGAAAGATGTATCTTTTGTACAATATTTATTCATTTTAACACTGAGCGTAAGTATGCACAATAAAATCAGAAAAAATAGTTTGAAAAAACTTAATGTTATGCTTATCATATTTTGACTGCCACGCAATGTGACCACAAAGAAGCAAAAGTTAGAAAAACATATTAATTCCAGACAATTGGTCACCTGGTCATAATAAAATTAGTTTTGAACAGTTAAAATAGAACGAAGATGATTAAGAAGCATGATTATACTAAACGAACCCATACAATGAAAGACGAAGGTGAAATCTGTGCAGTGGCTATTAACACCTCCGGTTCAGTCAGTTTAATCAGTTGTACAGAAGATACTTGCAATGGATATTATTCCGGGTCAGTAGTTCACTATACTAGTTGAAACAATTCAGATAAAACTTCAGGTGAACATCGGTTAAATCATGTTTGAAGCGACAACTTTACACCATTTTTAAAACTTCCATTTTAAATATTTTGATACACCAATTTTTTTACATAGTAGAAAATTTTCAAATTATTGATCAAAAATTCATAATTTTTGTTTTGTTCAGATATTGGTCGGGGGTTTAAAAAAATGAACAGTATTTATTGTAGATACTTCGCAAAAGTACTGTATGCTGAAATTTTGATGTAGTCATTATCTGGTCTACTTATTCTCGGTTTTTCTCAAAATTATTGGAAATGAACTGCAGAAATTACAAAAATTTGTGCACAAATTTATAATAAATAATGTAAGATTGAATCGATAATTATTTACTTTGTTGATTGGTCGGAGATGGTACGTTAATGGTGTTGAATTTTGTCCCATAAATCATATTCAATGGCCACAATGTGTACCGGTTCAGTTAATATAACGTCAATGATGACAAGTTAACATAGTTATGTTTTTGCGATGGATAAAGATCATTTGCTTACAAGACGAGTTTTGCGTCACGGACTGAGTTAGACAGAAGAATAGTTAGAATTAGCAACGGTTTAAGCTAGGTAGGGTGGCTATCATCGGCGTTAGGGTTAGGGATGGGTTGAGGTTAGAATTAGTTGTCATGAACGGTAGGTTCTGATGATTGGGGGGGGGTAGATTTGGTGTAAGGGAAGAGAGAGGGTTGAGTTATGGATGGGTTAGAGTTAGAGTTGGGGTTAGATATTGTTATGTTTAAGACTTAGAGAGGGGTTAAGTTGCATATCAATGATTCAATGTTTTTCTGTGAAACAACTCCATTTAGTATTTCAAACGATACAAAAACAATTTCTGGAGGTGTTAGGATCAACCCTAACAATCACTAGCCATCTTACACAGTTCACTGTGAAGGTCAGATGAAAGGATAAAAATTGTTTAAAAAAACGCTTGATGGCGTATCAAAACTACTTACTTTACTTTTCATGGCATAATTCTTAATATAATTAACTTCATTGAAAATCTGCAATGGGCGATTTATTTTACTGTAAACAAAACTATTGACATGTTGTAAAAATATCTGAAAATAGCAACTGTTGTTTATTATATTGTACCATTATTATTAAAAAGGGATAAAAGAAGCAATATTTGAAACCAACCCTTTTCTTCTCTGCTTGCTCGTTTTTACTAAGTTGATAATACATGTCATCGGGCTGACCAAACAAAGGAAAAATATTTCAATCAGGAAAAAACAAGAAAACCATGATAAAGAAATAAAAATGCGAAACTCACGTCTAATGGATACTCCTTTTGGATAGATTTTATAGCTTGGGCGGCCGCTACCGCAATTAACTATAATCATAGTTCATTGTAATTTTTTACAAGAATTCCAGCTTGTCTGATTTTTTTATACTTGGGCAATTTCAAAGGGTTCTCTCGTTTTATTGTTGCCGTTTTCTTTTGAAAACAATTTCCGAAAATCGGAAACATTTATAAAATCAGCAGCATCGTCAGCCAAAATTGCATCCATCTGCAAAATCCAATATGAAGAGACCACCTATTACTATTACCATAGCGCAGAATCATGTTTTTCTCTAGTTGGACTTATTCAAACTTCTAACTACTTATGAAAAACTAATAAATCATTGAAATAAGTCTTACGGCTGCATCTAACTTCATATTGCTATACTGTTCAAATCCTTTCTAAAAAAAATTTAAAAAAAGAAAGAACAAACTTGTCAACATATTTGTACGCACTCTGTTCTATTACTTACCCAAATCGAGCCATCTTTATTGAGCATAAGTGTTTCACGTACCCAGTTCATACCGAGAGTTGGAAGTAATGTATTCTTTGTAAATCGGAAATAAGAAAAAATAAATAAATAAAACACGTATAAAAACCTACATTCGTAACAATGTGTGGTGATTAGTGACCGTTTGTCGATGATTATTCAGAAATCTTGAGATGCGGTCTGGTGTGACGTAGGTTTTAGAAAAACATTTTCTTTATCGTGCCAACGTTTCTATCTTTATTCAGATCTTCTTCAGGGCTCAAAGTGTTTGTTTTCTGCGTAAGTGTGCCATTCTTGCGTGTCGTGTTCAGAGGGCTCTCAAAAATGGCACACTTACGCAGAAACCTAACACTTTGTGCCCTGAAGATGATCACAATATAGATCGCATCGTTGGCACGATAAAGAAAATGTTTTTCTGAAGCTTACATTACACCAGACCGCATCTCAGGGTTTCTGAATAATCATTCATAACGATACTTTTAAATCGGTATTGATCGAACTACAAATTAATTAATTGTGTTTCATGTAACATGGACATATTTGTAACTTAAAACCATAACGCAAGTATTTCCGACAGCGAATTTCGTAATGAATATCCCCATTTTTCTGCTCCTGATGACCATCGCAAAAGAAGATATAAATGAGGTTTTCCTTGATTTCAATCGAGAGTTTATTCTTTTCAACAAGGATTAATGGAAGATTAATGTAACGGCGAGTCCAGGATAACACGGGCGATTAGAGGGTCCGCCTTCGGTTCATAGAATACAAGCTAAGCAAACTTTTCTCTTTTTTTTATTCAACCAGAATATCTTTTTTTTAATGATATTTCTTTATCATCACTGACATCATTGGGGCATTTGTTTTTCCATTCACTGGACCACACCGAGATACAGATTATTCCTGATGAAAAGATAGATTGATTGAGAGGAAGAGATATGGATGAAGTGACAGAATACAGAATGGTAGAAAAACAGAAATCAAGAACACAGAAATAAAGAGAAAAATTGTGTCGAAAAAAAGGTAGCAAGAGCGAGAAAAATCGAAATTGTGGGAGCATCAAAACCGAGTGCGAGTGAGAAGCAGTGAGAAAGAAAAGGAGACAGATAAAAGTAAATTGATAGCTAGACAGCTTAATAGATACATGGATAGATAATTAAATAAATAGAGAAAGAGAGAGAGAGAGAGAGAGAGAGAGAGAGAGAGAGAAAGAGAGATGAGAGAGTAGATAGGTAAATAGAAAAAGGTAGAAAAATAAAGAGGAAAAGCAGGAGGAGGAGGGAGGCAGAAAGAAAGAATGGACGCCTTTGAAATAAGAAAAACAATGTAAAATGAAAAAAATAGAATAGGTATCAGATAACAAGAGGAAGACTGAGTGAGAGAGAGGGAGAGAGAAAGAGAGAGAGAGAGAGAGAGAGAGAGAGAGAAAGAGAGAGAGTGGGTGAGTGAAGAGGGGATTATTTAATGCACGTATTTCTAAATTATAAACGAAACGACGACCGACTAACTCAGGACGACGCTTTTAATAAAAATCGATACGGTAACACAAATATATTTGAAAATTGATGCACAATATATGTTATTAATCTCTTTTTAGTGTCTAGGTCTCGGCTAGTAAAACCATTTGTCTTCGGTTTACACAATTTAAAACTTTAGACTTAATGGAAGTGCCATTTCCTATAAATTGTAAATTTTTTAAACTGTTATCTGGGGCCTTTCATAAACGTTTTAGATCGATGGATTACCGTTTGACAGGTCTGATAAACGGACCAACTTAACTCATGGCCGCGAAATTTTCAAACAGTCCAGAACAAAAGGGCTTCAGAACATTCTTTCCCCATAAAGGAAACAGCCTTGGATATTAAACGGCATTAGGACAAGGCGTCTTGTTTTTGGCTTTTAGACCGTATATCATGAGAGAGAATACATGCGAAGGCAGGTACAGCAATAAATTACGGAAAAATGAAGAAAGGCGGCGGGAAGCGATATAGGACTGGAGCCCAAAAGGAATGTTCTTAGAAAGTAAAGTCCACCTTGTGGGTTCAAAAAATAAAATTATATATATTTATATATATATATATATGTATATATATATATATATTCATTTTCGGGTGATGTTTTATGTCAGGGGGAGGGAGAGAGATTAAAGAAAAAAGGAACGAGAGAATTTGAAAAATAGAGAGCCGGTGATATATGGGAAATAAAAAAAAGGTGGAGAGAATGACACGTACAACTTGGAAACCGAAGGACAGAGAATTATTGAGAGAGAAAGATAGATAAATCGAGAGAGAGAGAGATAAATAAAGAGAGAGAGAAAGAGAAGAAGAGAGGGAGATAGAGTGAAAGGAAGAAAGGGAGAGAAAGCGAGATCGCTTTAGTAAATCATGCCAAGTTAGAGCTGTTGGAACTTTATATCACTTAACGGGGGAATTGAGGGAATAACCTAGTGTGGGTAGAAAGATGATGTAAGAGAAAGCGAGTGACATAGATAAAAAGAAAATGAGATTAAAAGCAGTAGAAAAACACGTATTGAAAAATATACAGAGTGAGGAAGATAAAAAGAATTAAACAAAAAGACTAATTATTATGACTAATTATTAAATGAAAATTGTTTGAAGTTCAAAAAAACAACATCACTGTTTCATAACAAAAAACTTACGTTTTAAAAAATATTAACGTTTAGAAACAACTTGAGAATAAACATGATACATTTAGAAGCAGTAAGTGTTCAAGGTGTTTTTGCAAGAAAAGGCAATTTTTTAATTAAATACGCTGAGAATCGAACCCGAGACCTATGCATTGATGAGTAACTAACCGTCGCGAACACCCGATGCCCATTGAAAGGGTTAAAACATTATAAATTCTAAAAGGAAAAGTTGTCACTGTCCAATTGAATTAATACATGAATGTAGTATTATTCATATTCGGACAGCGGGTACTGTTCATGCCACATATACTAGAGAAGAAAAAATTGTAAATAGTCGTTTATGTTCGTAAATAACCTGTATTCATGAAGAATGATTTTCGGTTTAATACAGATGCTGCAGTAATTCTGGTATTTCAGATTTTGATTTAAAACCTCCTCTGCTGTTTAGAGAAAATAATTACCCGGTATATCACGGAGCATGCATACAAAATAAAATATTTACAAAAAAGTACTGAATCATCTTAATTAAACGACACCTTTAATCGAAAAAAACACTCAAAAAGGCATCAAAAACTCGTTCACAATGTACCATTTTACACGCTTTAATTTTTCTCCTTGTACATTAACTCCTAAACTTTTTCCACGTTTTGGTCTGCTAGCAGTTTTTTCTTGGGTTTCATGCCGTGATTTTTTTGTTTAGTTGAGATCGAACGAGAGGAAGTCAGAAAGAGAAAGTGAGAGAGAAAGAGAGAGAGAGAGAGAGAGAGGGTGAGAGAGAGATCGCTTAATAAATTACGCTAAGTAAGATCTCTTGGAAGTTTTTATCACTTAGTGAGAGAATCTCCTAGTGTAGTGTGCGTGTGTGCGTGTGCGTGTGCGTGTGCGTGTGCGTGTGCGTGTGCGTGCGCGTGTGCGTGTGTGTGCGTGTGTGTGTGTGTGTGTGTGTGTGTGTGTGTGTGTGTGTGTGTGTGTGTGTGTGTGTGTGTGTGTGTGTGTGTGTGTGTGCAAAGGGAGAGAGAGAGAGAGAGAGAATGAGAGAGAGAAAATTAGATGTGGGTTGTTTTTTAATTTGTTAAATTAATAATTAATGCCTAAATTAATTATGTAGATAATCAGTTGCTTAAATGTTATATTTGTTTTTCGTTGTTTTTTTCTCATTTTTCTATATCCAATTTGCAAAGATTTGAATGTGAATTATATTTTACTTAAATCTTTTGCCCAAATCGAAAAAAACAATGGTACTCTAATTACCTAATTATTACCCTAATTGCTATTAAATTTACCTCTGGACTCCTTTTGCTGACATTGTGCTCTAAACCGAGTAGAAGTTGTTTTAGTTTTAACAAATCGTTGGGTAATTCCTGTAAAGTGAATTTTTATTGTACAATCGTACTAGATATTTTTCAAAAATCAAATATACCTTAAAAATCGATTCCCAGTTCAGGTTAGTGAAGTTCAATTTTGGTAATACGTGTTCCTAAAATAACAATTTTGCCAAATTATGTCAACTGGACTTGCATTATTTCGAAAGATAAAATTTACCGATATAAGGCTTTCGTTATTAGCAAATTCACACCACATGTTGCGGAGTCGTTCGAAAGTAGACCAAACCAACCTCGCATTTTCGCTCTAAGCAAAATGCAAGTTAGACTTACATTCGACAAAATTGAAATTGTTTCTTTTACCTCTGGATCTTTCACTAGGCCCGAGTATGTCAAAAAAGCATTCTTGAATGCTGATGTCGTCTACAAATTATAAAAAACTATTACTTATCAACTAGCGTTTATAGTCTTTGAAATATACCTCGGAAGAATTGTGGCATAAAAATTCATTCAAATGTTGAAAATAAACACTCAATACGTCCTGGAAATAATAATTAATAGTATTACGAGTACAGTTTTCTTTCCCTCAAAGCTATAAAGCATACAAGAAAAACATTGCCAATACCTTGACCAATTTTTGGTTGTCTTTTATGAATGCACACCACGTGTTTTCTATATCCAGCAATAGCCGACCTAAATAATTGTAGCTTGAATTGGAATTTGCTTGAAGGTGCGGCGGAGGTACCTCCGTCCCTTTGTTTTCCTCGGCATGATTCAAAGCAGAGCCAGACTATGAAACAAAATGTGAAAAAAGGTAAGAAATGTTTTGGGCGTTTCAAAAGGGCAAAATGCAGGATTAGAAAATGTGTGTGAAACTTACGGAACGGCCGATCAAAAATAATCCTGCTATAAAAAGGATAAAAATGAGTCTCGCCATCATAAACGTTCTTTTCGAATTCATTTTTAACCCTTATGATTTAATATGCCAGTTAGATAATACAGAATACGGTAATTTCATCAGATGACATATGTTTACTAAAAAGCTTTATTTTGAAAAATAGTTTTTGCTTTATTGAACTTCTATTAAATAAATTATAGATTTATTAACACTCACTTTGTGAAAAACAATACAAGCTTTATTTTTAAAACTTTTATTAATATTTATTTTTTGAATTCACTAATTTCTTGGTCCGCTTACCAATTAATATATTACAATTAATTAAGGTTTTTAGTTGAAATAAAAAAGTCAGCGGCACGAGCGGGATTCGAACACACGATCTTCGGCTAGATACGCCGCTGCTCTACCATTTGAGCTATCGTGACCTCGATCCACTCGGACACCAACTTCCTATCTCAACCCCACCTTTTGAATTGGTGGCCGAGTGGATCGAGGTCACGATAGCTCAAGTGGTAGAGCAGCGGCGTATCAAGCCGAAGATCGTGGGTTCGAATCCCGCTCATGCCATTGACTTTTTTATTTCAACTAAAAGCCTTAATTAATTGTAATATATTAATTGGTCAAACGGGTCACGTAGTGAATTTAATGAATTAAAATGAAGTATAATTCACTAAAGCTCTCCGTGGCCATTTCATTTGTCGCCGAGAATCCAATCCGATTACACGACATTTGAAAAATGGCAAAAAGGAGGGAAAACTCAAAAGGTGGGGTTGAGATGGAAGTTGGTGTCCGAGTGGATCGAGGTTACGATAGCTCCAGTGGTAGAACAGCGGCGTATCTAGCCAAAGATCGTGGGTTCGAATCCCGCTCGTGCCATTGACTTTTTATCTCAACTAAAAACCGTAATTATTTATTTTTTGAGTTTGTAGGAGTGAAAAGGCTAGGAGAAAATTGTCTAGATGACAATGTGTAAAGTGGTTTGAAATAAGTTCTTGTAAATAATTTACGAGTATGTTTATTGGCTGATGAGCCAGGCGAGCAAAGGAAAAATCAGAGATGTGAAATTGATTCCAGGTTGCCCGATCAAGAGAAAAAGAGAAATTCAGGTCACATGCAAGTGGATTGTAGACCGGTAATTTCCCAGTTATTGTTTTTCCCCGTAGAGGTAAAACCGCTCCAAAGAGGATTTGCAAACTGAGGAAGATGGAGTCGTCGATAGAACCAAAACCTGACATGACACCAAGGAAGCAAGGCTGTCCTTTTTATTCTTTCGTGTATAAGATTTTTATTTCCCCTTAGGTTTTTATTTATTTATTTATTTTTAATTTCCAAAGGATTTTCGGTTGCATTGTGTTACGAAATCTATTTTAATTTCTCCAGAGGTATTTCCAGAGTTTTAATTGTATTATAAGTGGTTAACTGGTGTATGTATATTTCATTTTACGCCTATCTTTCCCTTCCAACGTAGCCAAGGTCAGCTTCTGAAAATCAATGTTATCACCAATCAAGTTGGTGCCATGGGGTATACCAGGCAGTACCAACGGATAGAAAATTATGATTGATTTTGCTTATTATTTTGTGCCACCGGGTAACCCACTGACCTTTAATTTGGAAATTGAGCCAAAATTGTAGCCACCAGCTTGTGTGATTAAATAACAGAGTACTGAGCCGATCTAACATTCAATAGTTTACAACGGTAGTTCTAATCGCAAATCGTTTTTGGCAGTTATGCAAATTCAAACATTAAATTCTTCATCTTCAGATTAAGATTAATCAACGTAAATAACAGATAGAGGAATAATTTCCCCCTTAAGCGGTGTCCGGAATAGCTGGTGATTTAGGCCGAACAATTTTGAATATGGTAAAAACACGGATTACAACGATTGTGATAATTTCCCGATGTCCATTGTTCTTTGCCAAGGTTTTTAAACGTTCGTAGGTCATTCGTCTTATTGTTAGGGGGAATTTCAACATATTGCATATGAGGCAAAAATATTCAGCAGCCTTAAGGGTCAATGGTTGTGAAGAATCTACAGATATGATCGTGCCCGTTGTTGTGGGCTTTCCAATAAACTATTAGCTGCAATGTGTGTACCTGGACAGCTGTTATTTATAAATTTAAACAAGATCTGTACTCTCTGACAATTCTTTGATTCCATTATATTATGAATTTATAAAACATTTACAACTGTGTTGGTTTTTCTCATGGCAGCAACTCTAAAACTTGGTGTTGTTATGAAGACATATTTATAAAAAGGGAAAAAGTTAATGTGAGGGCATGCGATCGCTTTCGATATGTGCAGCTCTCGAAGAGAACAATAAACATAAATCCAAAAGTAACGAAAAAAGAAATTGAATAAAATCCAAAAATAAGCAAGTAAAATAAAAACGGTGTGTATGTGTGAGAGAGAGTGAGAGAGTGAAAGGGAGGGAGAGGGCGAGAGAAGTTTGAAAGTGGGAATAAGTAAATAAATTAGAAAACGAGATACGCATATATATTTAGAATGGAAAAAGACAGATTTTTATTTTATATTTTTTTAAACCTACTCTCACATTGATTACAGGTTATAATATTGCATTGTACTAATGTTTCTCACATTTCTTTAAAGTAAACTTTATATTTTACAATTTTCAAGATGGGATAAGTGTAAGGTTCTTCTCATATATAAATCAACTACTATATATCACACTATTATAACAATGATAACAATATAAATATTTGTGAACCTTGTGAAAATCTTTATATAAAAATTAATAAAGTTGTACCGAAAAGATGTTCTCTTTAAAAAGGTCTATTGTTGATAGAAAATATTAAAATTACACAGAAGAAATTGAAGAAAACATGGCGGCGCCTCATCCGTATAAGCGGCAAATTGAAGACACTGATCACATAAAAACTCAAAATAACTGAATCTAATCTATAAAAAAAGACGTTTCGAGCTCAAAAGACTCGGCTCGCTGGACTGCTGGAATGATAAACACTATCATTAAAACTTTGATATCTACCCATTTTCTATGTAATAGAGTCTCTTGAATGAGGGTTGTGGTCAGAAAAACAAATAATTTTTTTATACCAACGTTGTTTCCTCTATGAACGTTCGACATTTAAACGGATATAAGACATATCTCATTAAATTGATAATTACAATGCTTAACATAGTTACAACAACAAAAAAATCAACAAATATTTTATTTCTTCTAGCAAATGCAGTAAGTCTTACAAACAAGATAATCGGTTCAAAGCTCGGTCAACAAATTTTAACTCTAAAAAAATAAAATTGTTATTGGTGTAATATAGCATATATAGTTTTTTAATACTATTTTCGGTAATAATTAGCAATAAAATTAAATTATATTACATTTTTGTATGATTTACCTCTAATTTCATTAACTATCTCTGACGGACTTGTTGAAACGGTATTCTTCAACCAAAGAGATATGTTTTTAATTTATACCAGTAGCCAGATAACACCTGGGAAATAAACTGGTCAAATCAATAAAATAGCTATTTAAAAATACATGAAGAAAGAAACCTTTTGTGAAAAAAATTTACAACCAGTTGTCTTTTTGTAAATTGTATCTAGTCGAACCACAATATTGCTTCCTCTTCACAAAACACAATTAAGTTTAACAAACGTTTTATTGTTTGTTTTATTGAATTAATTAATCTTTAAGGTATTGGTCAAGATAAAAATGTCAGTGGCACGAGCGGGATTCGAACCCACGACCTTCAATTCGCCGCTGTTCTAACTACTTGGGCTATCGTGACTTCCATCCACTCGGAAACCAACTTCCCATCTCAACCTCACCTTTTTGATTTTTTCCCTACTTTTTGCCATTTTTGGTCAATCGGACCACGAAACCTAATCGATTATGTTTTATGGGGATTTTTGCATTCCTGAAGAAGAAGCAGGGTTAGTTCAAAATATGTAAATAGATAAATTAAGACAACTGGTTGTAAAATATTCATAACAAAACATTACTTTCAAGATTTTCAAAAAGCAACAACGTTTGGAATAGTAACAAATAAAAAATAAATTGAATTATATTTACCCTTAATATTGCTTCCCACGTTAAGAGAGTTGGCTTCGTTTTATGCCACATTTGTTCCTAGTGAAACAGATAAAATAAGTATGATTGAACATAATACTGATCATTTCTCAAATATTCCATACCAAAGAGAAACTGTCATTATTAACGACTTCGCACCACAGATTGAAGAGAACTTCAAAAGGAGTCCAAAGCAATGTCACATTGTCGCTCTAAGCAAAGTATAATTTAGACTTGACAAATAAGGTTAAGTTAAAAACCTTACCTCTGTTGATTCAGGCAAGTTCAAATATTTTACCAATTCAGCCTTAGCCTTTTGGCTTGCCTAAAAATAATTTAAATAATTTTATTAAACTCAAGTGAATTCTAATTTAAAGTTCGTAAATTCAGGTTTAACTTACTTCGCTGGGATTCTTGCATTGATTACTGGTAACTTCGAGAAGATCTTGAAAATAAACCGTGTGCAATTCCTAGAATAATTGTAAACAATTATTTCTAATTATAATACAGTTCAATAAAACAAAAAATATACAATACCTTGACTGATACTTCGTTGACTTCTAGGAAAAAGCATAATTTCAAATCCAATTCTAAAACTCCTTGGCTGAGAACTTCAAACTGGTGGTTTCCTCCTTCCACCTTGCTTACTTTTCCGGCTTCGTTCATAGGTTGGCTCGACTGGTACATAAAAAAGTGTTAAAAAATCCGTAGTTGAAGATTTTAAACGATTACGATTTTTATTTTCCTTTGGCAAAACCAAATTTATTGCTATATCGTTAGTTAATCGATTATTTGACAAAATGATGATGAATCGCATGACACATCAATCTGACAAACGGAATTTAATTGGTATTTAATCAAAACAAATAACAAGATTAATGATCACAAGCATTGACAATATATGAAATTACACAAAAGAAGGGAAAATTTAGTTTAAGTGATAAAAAAAACACCACACCGAATCCATTTGTACACATAAAAAGAACTAAAAATATTTCAATTATATTTGAAAGAGAAATATTGGATTCTCAAAAAGTAATTAATGCAATTTTAATTCTTTTATTTAAGAAACATTGTTAAACGTCCATGTCAGGATACGTGATTTGCGTGCAACTTTCAAAAATTGTTTAAAATATTTCTAAAGCTATTCGATAAAAACAGGTTCTAATTTAATAAATAAAAGATAATTGTTTTGGTTCAAGCAGTTCGGAATTGGTATCCGAACTAATTAATTGAAGACATTCAACCAACACAAAAGGAAGAGGAGAAGCAATTCAAACATTTTTTATATAAAATAATTTGTTACACCTATAAAATAGATAATATAAAAATTCAATCCTTAATTAGTATACAGTGTATTTACATGCGGGAGAGTTTAATTTATCATATTAGACTTTATAACAATATTTTCAACAACGAGAATTTTCTCAAAGAATAAGCTAATCCTCAACCGCAGGCTCGGCAATGCGAGCTGAGAGAGAAAAGGGCGAGGAAGGGCACTCTTTCAAGTTGTTGAAGCCACCTGCTCTTTTTTGTCAATGGCAAGGAGTTGTGTATGTCACAGATCACTTATTTTTATTTTATTTTTTAATCTGAATACATTTTAGAAGGTTATTGATATAATTTGTTTTGGTCAGGTCCCGCTTATTATCTTTTTGCGATTAATTTGTTTGAGTTTGTGGCACAGATATTTTTTGTATTTTTATTTTACACTCGTGAGTGAAACGAGTTGCTTCGTGTGAAGGGGATCCACGCAATGATCGTAATAACTTTAATTGAATTTTATTCGAAAATAAAATAAAAATAATAAAAATATCAATCTACATTACATCGGCCAAAAATGATAAACAAATATTTTTATAGATTGACTAATGATTTGATAAGTTGTATAAAGTAATAGCTAGTTAAGATTGTATTATAATAATAACAAATAATAATAATAATAATAATAATATCCAAGGGGAGATCACCTGACTATAAAACGTGTAACAAACAAGAATTTCCGCTCCGGGAAAAAACCGAAGTTTTGAGGTATATTGGTTTAATAAGTGTATGACAGTGGTGTGTTGTGGAAGCTAGGACGTCCCTTTGTTGGTCAAGCGGACCACGAAAACTAGTGAATATAATAATAACAGTGAACAATAACATAAGAAAATGCAATGAAAAATTAGCGAAACGTAACGTAATTTATTGATTAGATTTATTCTTACTTTGACATCAGTAGGATTCGACCTTTCCGATTGCTTCATGGAGGCAAATTGTTCAAAATCTGCCAATAGTGTGCTTAATTTGGCCCGTAAATTGCTAAATTTTCCCTTGAAAACCAATTCCCAATCCAGGTCAAGCGTTTTAAATCTTGAAAACAATTGTTTCTGAAATAAAATTAATCAGAGAGAATAATTTATACATGTCAAAAGTTCAAATCGATTCTTTACCAGTGAAAAGTTATCGTTGTTCATGTAGTCGCACCACAGATTGAACAGAACGTCGAAAGGAGTCCATGCTAATCTAGCCTTTTCGCTCTAATCAAAATACAATTAACTCACGTTTAACAAAACACGTTTAGGTGTTTGGTTTACCTCAAGATAATCCTCTAAGTGGAAGTGTTTCAGAACTGCAGCCTTGGCTTGTAAAGTTGTCTGAAAACATATTCAGAATAATTTCTCTGCTTGAGTCCATACACACAATTAACATATACCAAGCTTGCGTTTGTGCAATACCCGAAGGTCAGTGTTCTTAATTCTGGTAAATACTGCTTCAAAACGTCCTAATATAAAACATAAATGTTATAAATTAATTTATCTTTTTATGTAAGTTCTTGGTTGAAATGAAAAAGTTAGTGTCACGAGTGGGATTCTAACCCATGAGCTGCTACGCCGTTGCTCTAATCACTTGAGCTATCGTGATCCACTCAGAATCCTACTCCATATCTCAACCTACAACCTTTCGAATTTGCTCTCTCTTTGCCATATTTTAAAATGTCGTGTAATCTATTTGATTCTCAGCGACAAATTTTATCTCAACTAAAAACCGACATATGAAGTGGCCACGGAGAGCTGTTAGTGAAGTTATACTTCTTTTACTTATTAAATCCATTATACTTAGTGTCTGATTGACCAAAATACTTCTTTGAAGTAATTATTCTTTGTATGTAAGGTCTTGGTTGAAATGAAAAAATCTAGTCACGAGCGGGATTCGAACCCACGACCTTGGGCTAAATACGCCGTTGCTCTAACCACTTGAGCTATCACGACTTCGATCCACTCGGACACCAACTCCCCATCTCAACCCCACCGCGTCGTGCGTTTGAATCCCGCTGACACTGACTTTTTTATCTCAACCAAAACCTTAAATTATTGAAAAGAATTTTCTTGTACAATTGAAACTCTTACATTATCACATTTATAATTTTAAACAATATGAAAATTTTTCTTTCCTCACAGACTAAGACTTAATTATTCTTTTTATGTAAGGTCTTGGTTGAAATGAAAATGTAAAAAGAATAATTAGTTGAAAGAAGTAATTTGGTCAATCTGACCACTAAACATAATGGACATAAATGCTTGATAAGAGGCACTGATTTAAGCATATATTGTTCAATATGTAGTTGTTTCAAATTTCTACTAAAATTATATTAATAATATGGATGTTTATTTGAGCAAAAATGTAATATGCTACTGGCCTGAAAATTCTTGGTTATATTCGTTATAAAATATTAATTTTTAATATTATTTCAGTTAGCTGTATCAGCTGATCAACATGCAAATTATTGTTTTTCAACTGATGGATAATCATTTTAGTAATTAATAATATGTCATGTTTATCAAATCATTTTTCAGGAAAGAAACATTGTTCTATTTATATTTGTGCCATTGTCCAGAATTTCTACTGTAGACAGCGTATTTCTTGTTTTTATTAATAACAATAAGTAAGAAAGCAAGAATCTCATAAAATTACCTGGACCACATGTTCATTGTTTCGCATAAAATTACACGATTTCATTTCCAAATTGTACAATAGCTGGCCAAAATAGCGAAACTGGGCGTTTCGTTTCGAATCGGCCTCGGTCCCGCTGCCTCTTTCGCCATTGTCCAAAGGATGGCTCGACTGGCAAACAAAACAAGTGGAAAAAAAAATTGAAAATGGAAAAAATTCACTTTCCCGTCAAACGGGTAAACTCCACTATGGTTAGAGGAAAAAAACATGGTAAACTCACGGAGCGGTCGAGTAATAGTCCGATTGTGAAAAGGATAAAAGTCAATCTCATCATTGGAAATGTTTTTTGTTTTCTCTCAATGAAGGATAACCTTTAGATTTTCATATGGCAATACAACAACAAACGCTGTCGATTTAACATATGTTACAATAATTAAAATTTCCTTACATAAATGAGAAGACTCACTCCAAATTATTTCAATAATATCAAATGGTCGCCCACAAATATAATTACTCTAGTAAGATAAGATATTTTCATATTAAGCTCAATTTTTACGTTTTCAGGGCTGGCGGTTATTTATTTATTAATTATTCTTATCATGTTATTATTATTTGTGTCCGTTTGTGATCAATGGCGTACATGTATTATTATTTACTGATAAGAAATTCGCCCATTATAGGATGATGGATAGCATGATACGTCAAGCTGATAACATTTTGTGTATTGAGAAGAACTGCGAATTATAAAAATTTCGTGACAATTATCCGATATGTTCCGTAATAATATTATACTGTAATATAAGTCACACTGTTTCTTTTTCTAACATTTCTCTTAAATCACTTTTTCTCTCGGAGAAAAAATAAATGGTATGTTTATGCCGACTACGACAAAGGTGTGCTATTATCATGATAAATACACTTCATTTACTTTAATACTGCCTGATGATTCGACAAAATAAGTATTTTACAGATCTTTTTCAACTTAACCCTCATATTGAATAATATTAGAACAAAAATACGCCATAAGGTTGAACAAAAATTTTTTTTACAGAACTATGATACACCATTTTTGTGATTTTATCCCGCCCCATGCTGTAAATTTATCAAATTTTAATCCTTGACAGAAACGTAAAAATGTCCTAAATAATTTAATTACACAGTGTCGGTCAGAATGGTTTAATAGCCTTATTTTCCTCGTCGTTTATTAATGGCGTAACTGTTTTATGAGTAGTACTTCATACAAAATCGTCATTCCTAAAAAAAAATTGTGCCGGAAAAATATTGCAAAATATTAATGTAGTTTTGAAGGACGTTGAAAAGTTCAAAACATAAAGCAAATTTAACTAATTTAATATAAGAAAGATGAAATTTGTTGTAATGGACAAAGACACCCTTGACACCCTGTCATATGGAAATAAAGTTTCTATCATCGACTCATTATTTTAAAAGAGTAAACATTAAAAACTATAACAATCCTCTGAAGCATGTGCTGAAGATGTAGTTCTATGAAGTATGCCTCTGGATTAGACAAGAATAACATTGATAATTGATGTTCCTATGTGTCAAAGTTTGCTGTCACAAAACTAATAATACAACATGAAATCTACCAAACACAGACAAACCAACATACATTTCCATGCCATTCATTCACGACCTATCACATAAATTAAACATATTTCTCTCTTCTGACAACTTTAAAATAGCATTCAAAAATTATACAACAATTCACACACTTTTTTCCAAAATTAAAGGTCCCACACCAGTAACAAATCAATCTGACGTAATTTATAAAATCAATAGTTTAAATTGTCCGGCATCATACATCCCAATATCTGTACAAGAGAGTAAAGAATATATCTATGATTGCAAAAAACCCAAACAAATTCCTACAGCACTGGCTACCCACCATTTTGAACACGAACACAATTTCGACTTCAACAATCCAAAAATATTACACAAAGAACAAACACAAACGTAACTTTTTAGAAATGGTTTACATCAACAGGAATAAATACAACATCAATTACAGAACAGACACATGTAAACTCAGTTGCAGTTAGGTCAATATCATTACTCAAATTCATTATCGATAACATACTTATATCATCATCACATCACACAAAACATATAATACAACATATAAAGCAATCATCACATTCCACACATGAAACAATTCGACATAGTCTAATTCTTCAACGATTTATCTTTCCTTTCCCGAATTATACCCGTCTATATAATCTTTCTCTAATCCCGAAAGGATAATCAGGACGAACCATTACCCATTTTTCCCATTGTCGGCTCCTTTCACCTCAAAGAAGCTGATGCATAGAAAATTGTCTTTCTATCCCAACTTCCTTCCCCACCCCTTCAAAATCCAACGTAAATAAACATAAAACATCAATATCTCACTGGCACTCTCAACACGACACACATCTTCACAGAAAACAGACAAGACAGACAGTTAGTACAAATAGTTTGATTGAATTTAAAATTTTTAGCATAGATTGATTTTTCCCCACATCCTACATGTATTTATAAAATTTAAACAATGTTTATAAATCCCCAGCCCTCAAGATCACAATAAAGATCGAAGCGTTGGCACGATAAAGAAAATGGTTTTCTAAAACCTACATTACACCAGACCGCATCTCACGATCTTCAGATAATCATTATTCTAATAGTGATCTTGATTTTTCAAAGATAATAATGAAAATTTAATATTTCCTTATGAAGAGGATAAATTCTTCAAAAGCTAGACAATGGTATTAATTGTTTTATTAGTAATCGACCTTTCATAAATAATTATTTATTAAGTACATGAGCACTTTCAGTTGATGAAATATATACTTTTAATTTTGTACTAGTTAAGCATAAATGTGACTTAAATTCGAAGACTTATGTTTAAAGAGAGGTTTTTTTTTTATATAGCCATAAGCAATATGGGATTTTCGTGAAAGCGTAACGCTGTTCTTATGATAAAGGGAAAGGATTTCCCAGCGGAAGTCTTTGATTTCCCGGTCGTTAAATAATTCCGTCACTACGGACCCTAGATTGAAGCGATATGAGAGCAACTTGGAAAAATGACGAATAGATTTATTCAGCGAAAAGTTATTGTCAATAAATTGTTATTTCTTGTCACAAAGATTATTGACGAGATGCAGTCTTGTTTATGCTGCCTTTTTAATAAAACACGGTCCAAAAGATGGTACTATTTCCAATAACCGCCGGGTTTTTATAAAAGGTTTTATTACATTTAGCATAATTTCACGTGGGTTTTAATTTGAGAACGACGTTTACCTTATTGCAGTCCCGCTTTAATTTCACAAACTACTTCCACATTTTCTCGTTAAACCGAAATGAATTATTCCCAGCTGGGAGAAAGCAGGGATTTTTCCCCAATCTATTTAATCCCTGTTCGAACTTGCGGTGGCTGAGTCGTTGTAGTCATTTAGACGGGGCACGGCTTTGACCAGAATGGTAATCTAATTTTATCGTTTTTTTTTCGTTACAATAAAAACAAAAGTGAAAAAACAGTTTATCTTCTTCCCCCATTGAAAATTTCCATTCGGTCCTGCTGATAAATCGAATTAGTAAGCCAGTAAGAACAGTTTGAAAGCCCTAATTATTGTGCGGTTAAGCCATTAATAAATCATGTTGTGTTGAAAAAATAACGGTACAATCGTGATTTTTCGCTTAGAAATTAACGCTTGATTTCTAGTAGCCACATATAGATAGCTTTCTAAAATTCACGAAAAATTTTCACTTCAGAAAAATCTGTTTGCACGTTGTGTGCATTTCACAACACCAATCGACCGTGAATGAATAATTTCAGAAAGAGATGATAAACGGGTAAATAAAGACTAGGAAAAATGTGAGAAAGAAAGGAAATTATTAGCAAGACAGAATGAGTATGAGCTTGTGTGAACGAAAGAAAGAGAAAGATGGAGAGAAAGAGAGAGTGGAGGTGAGAGAGAGGAGAGAGTGTGAGAGGGAGGGAGGGAGAGCGAGAGAAAGAGGAAAGGAAGAAACAGAGAAAGAAAGAGAGAGGAAATGAAGAGACAAAATGAAAAAGAAAAAGTAAACTAGACGAATGAAAAGTGAGGGAAAGAGGAAGGTGGTGAGTGAGGGAGGGAAAGATAAAGAGATGGAAAAAAGGGAGTTAGAAAAAATGAGAAAGAACATGATAAAAGAGGAAGAGAGAGAAGTCTAGATAGAGAGATAGCCCAATTGAAAGAGGAAAAGAGTGGGAGTAAATGTGAGTAAGATGACGTGATAGAGAGAGATGAAAAGAAAAGAGGTTAGAAAAGTGAGAAAGGATAGGATAGCAGAGAAAAAAAGAGAAGTGAGAAAAAAGGAGATGGAGAGATGGCCCAATAGAGAGAGGAAAAGAGATGGAGAAAAAGTGAATAATTGACAAGATGCGTAAAGAGACAGATAAAGACAGATAGGAAAACAGAGAGGCACAAAGTGAGGCTGAGAGGGAGAATCATATACACGGAAAAAATTGAGAAAGATGGATAGAAAGAAGGGAAGAGATGTGTGTGTAAGAAAAAAAAGATCGATAGAAAGAGAAAAAGTGAAAAATACAGAGAGATACAGAGAAATATAGAAACGAAAAGAGAGTCAGACATTAAAGACAATGTAAAAAAGAGAAAATTATCGAGCACGTGAAAAATACAGAAATAAATAAAGGGAAATAAGAAAGAGATTTCGATAAAGTAATGAAAGAGTAGGGGGAGAGAATTTAAAATTAAAATTCAATATTTTGGTTGAAAAATTTCAAATATTTTAAATTTTTCTTAAAGGTTATATTCTTTAATTTTATGTATTTCCCTTAGCGAAAAAATAAAAGTTAAAAACAAATTTGTAATTGTATAAAACTTTTTGTTTTATGATTCTCTTTCTTTACCTAACTGAGGAAAGATAAATAAAAAACTATTCTTACCAAAATAAACCTAGCTAAAACCTACGCTTGAAAAAAGGAAATAATTCCTCAATTTTCCGGAGAAAAAGGACTTCGCCCCATATCCCAAGATATACAAAGAATAGATTAATTTAAGAGCGATAAAACTTTTCACAACGATTTTTATAAAAAGACAATGTTTTATTTACATTTGTATTCAACGTATTCAGAAAGATTCCAATACTTGAACGATTGACCCTCTTTGAGCCTCGTCTGCACCAGGAAGTAGATCGGTCACATTATGCTTGTAAAGCGAGTGAGGTAGAACTTCTTTCTCTCTGGAAAGATGGATCGTCAGAAGCGATCAAGCCTGGCCATCAAGCACCCCAGGCCACAAATCGATTTTTCTTCCGAAGGGGGGGTCACGTTAACCATCTTTCAAAGAGCTGGCAATAATAAAGATTATTGAAAGTTAAGAGAACTTAAGAGTATTTTTTAAGTAGATAAAAAAATTGTAAAGTCG